CCCCCCCCCCTGGCTAAAATCCTGAATACGCGCCTGCATGGGACAATTTTAAATCTAGGATAACAGGTGTGAAATCTGTAAAAATGAAATAATATTCTTTTTTTTTTAACCGACTGACAAAACATTGATCTGCTCTGGGTGGGTATAAAGGAATTGAGTCTTTGCCACAAAATCGGATTTCTAATTTCTACACCCTATCCTTTGTTAATCTACAATGTCGTAGATCTATAGATCATGAATTCTGTTAGATCACCATAGTATGCAAAGATATGGGGATTAGAAAATTTGAGTTTGTGGCAAAGACTAAATATTCCATTAATATTCCTTCGTATCACCTGATCAAACTGTAACCAAAGGTCTGGAACGTATTCGCTGAACCCTGGATACTCAAGCTCTAACTCAGCTTGACGCAGGTTCAAGTTCGTCAAGTTCATTTTTAGTCTTTATTCACTGTGTTCAAGAGATCTTTCAGATTAATCCTTTTTATTTATTTATGTTGATTTCACATTAAGAACTGTCAGTGCAGGTCCTATTTATAGATAAGGCCGCTACCAGCTTAGATTGTTGTTTTTTGTTGTTGCCTAAATCACTTTTTTGCGATATTTTTTAAACCTGTCTCGGTTTAAACTATAAATGGTGAGTCTCAACTCAAAACCAATTTCATCGGGGTTCAGTAAACTTGAATTCTTAGATGGGAGAGAAAGCTATTTCTACGGGGTTGAACCTGTTATTTTATTTGATTTTATTTTATTTTGGAATTAGAATTTTTTTTAATGTTTGGCACTCGATCGTTATCTCTTTTGATCTTTATCTTTTATAAAAAAGCTTTTATTTCACTGTTCAATCTCAAAAGAAAAATATTGTTGTTAGCTAGTTTATTTCGGACGGTGAAAATAGATACGTGTTTTTTTCTAGACAAAACGAAAACATTTTCACAATGGGACTTAAATCTTTAGCAATCTTTATTTTTCAGATTTTACAAAACTTTTGTGGGTGGGAAATAATTATGGTAAGCAATCTGTATAATTTAGCGAACCCATATCTGTGTATCCCAATTTTATTCCCAAAGTGAATAAGTGTACCCCTGAGAATGACAAAGGCAAAATAAGATTGAAAAATTTAGAAATTATGTTTTAAAACCAGACGCGGGTAAACGGCAGGAGTAACTATAACTAATAATGTAGACCTGCAGACAACGCCGGGTACTCCAACTATTATTTTAAATAGCTATATTTTTTGGCTTGGTGCAAGAATACAGAAATTAAGCGTAATATTTTACAGTAATTGATTCAAAATAACTTAGAATTAAGCGTAATATATTTACAACATTGATTCAAGAATACAGAATTAAGCGTAATATTTTACTGTAATTGATTCAAAATAATTTAGAATTAAGCGTAATATATTTACAACATTGATTCAAGAATACAGAATTAAGCGTAATACTTACAGCATTAATTCAAGAATACAGAAATTAAGCGTAATATTTTACAGTATGATTTAAAATAATTTAGAATTAATGAAATTCTTATTCATCATTCAATAAAAACATTTTTGTGAATTTCTGGATTCTCAATCCATGTTGTAAATATTACGCTTAATTCTGTATTCTCGAATTAATGTTGTAAATATTACGCTTAATTCTGTATTCTTGAATTAATGTTGTAAATATTACGCTTAATTCTGTATTCTTGAATTAATGTTGTAAATATTATTCTTAATTTTGTATTCTTGAATTAATGTTGTGAATATTACTCTTAATTCTGTATTCTTGAATTAATGTTGTAAATATTACGCTTAATTCTGTATTCTTGAATTAATGTTGTAAATATTACGCTTAATTCTGTATTCTTGAATTAATGTTGTAAATATTACGCTTAATTCTGTATTCTTGAATTAATGCTGTAAATATTACGCTTAATTCTGTATTCTTGAATTAATACTGTAAGTAATACTCTTAATTCTGTATTTTTGTATTAATGCTGTAAGTATTACTCTTAATTCTGTATTCTTGAATCAATGTTCTAAATGTAAATATTACGCTTAATTCTGAATTTTTGAATTAATGCTGTAAGTATTACTCTTAATTCTGTATTCTTGAATCAATGTTGTAAATAGTACGCTTAAATTTGAATCAATAGTAATATTAATAATTAACAGTTGAATATATATGTGAGCCAAGGCCTAATCTTACTGACCCTATTAAACTCCTTTGACAGTTTAACTTTAAAAACCTTTTTTCCTTGAATTTGGGATTGCTTTCATCCCTGTCTTCCCTGAACCAGGTTCGGTGTGTAACCTCAGTAAGTTCCAATAGAACTAAACCTGTTGCCGTGAGAAGAGAGAAGATCTCCTCGGACAGATATTCTCCTAACCTAGCTCCGACCTCTCCTCCACCACTCTTCAGCTTGCAGGGTTGGATCTTCAGGTAAATATATTATTGTTTTTAGATTTTAAAAAGTTTCCAGGCCCAAATTTTCGTTCAAAGTGTCTACTCTTTATTAATTAAAAATATGCCGTTGAGTATTTTTCTTAAACCTTTATTTTGTATAACGGCAAACAGTGCACATGTACAGAGCATTTTCAGAAATAGATCATTTTTAACAGAATTACATACTAGAAAATCAGTATTTGTGATTGATATCTATAGAGGAGACGAAAAATATTTCTTCTTAATACATGGCTACCCACAAATAATGAGGCTTGAAAAAGACGACTGTACGGCATATATCTGTCTGTTTCCTCATATTTTTCAATCCCTACATGTTACCTTGTTCGTTGCCAAATCAATTTATATTTAAAGATGTTCAGGTCGTATTCACAGTCTCATCCTTTGTGGGTGAACATGTAAGTTATCGCTTTAGTTTGTGCAATGTTTGGGGTTTATTTTAAATGCCATCAAAAATTAACCCTTTTGAATAGAATTAAAACGTGTTTTTTTAAATAAAAAAAGGCCATTTTGTGTATAAAAGGCTAATCCGAGGTGTTTTTATCCATGTTATATATCTAAATGTTACAGCCATGGTTGGACAAATTCAGGATTTTTCACAAAGAGTCAAAACTCAAAATGAAATAAACTTTAAGATATTTCATTAAATAAAAATAAACCGACAAATATCCTAAAACTATACATTTTTCTGTTTATGTAAGTAAAAAAGAATCATTTTTTAATTTACTAGTCGGGTATTTTAAATCTTCATTATGAAAGATTTAACTCTAATAACTTTAAAAACTTTTATCTTTCCGACTTGAATAGATTGATTGATGGATTGAATGATAAAACTAAAGGTCGTGAAAACGTAAATTTATATGGACAATTTACAGAGATAAAAATATTTCTTAAATTAATTCAAAATTCCAAGATTTTTATATTAATAAATCACCCTTCCCCAACACGCTATTGCTGCGTCTCTTCCTTTTAGACCATATGCAAATTTATAAATGATTTGATATAACTTTTTAACTTTATAATAACATTTTTTAAAAGTTTTTCAATAATTTTTTCTATCTTGAAAAATATCTTTGATCTTAATTTTCGGACTTTATTTTTTTTTCTATTTTTTTTCAATCAAAAACCACTGGAATAGTTTATTTATTGATGATACAAAGCAAATAGATTTATTGGACACTTAATAAATCACTTACTTAGGGAATGAATGTGTTCACACCGAACAATTGGTGTGTCTAATGTTTATTGAACTTGTATTTGAAGTCATCACTTGAGTCCAAAAGTCGTCTTCCTATTTCAGAATATTCTCAGGTTAAGTTTGATTCAGGGGCGTATTCAGGAATTTTTTCAGGGGGCCTTAAATCTGTTTTATTTCCAAGGGGGCTTACTGGCTCAGTGCCCATTTGGGTCCAAAAACTCCCAGAGACCATTGATTTTACTGATCTAGGGGGGGAGGCTCATCCCCATAGCCCCCCCCCCCTGAAAACGTATCTGGTTTGATTAGTATTTTTATTAAATTTAGAAAATATTTGTACTATATACAAGATCAAAGAAAGAAAACAATAAAAGAAAATAATCTGAATTTAAAGCTAAAGAATCCAGAAATTCCTCTTCTTTCAATACATGGGATGGGACTGCAGACAAATTGAACAATTAGAACTGACCCGATTTATCTTTTTTTATGTTTTCATCCTGATTAGCATAAAATAAATTTAATTTTTCTATCTCTATCCTGTATATTAAAACTTTCCTTTCATTTGGCATTCCTCCAACTCTTATATTCCCTAATTTTATCCTCATCTCATTTCTGTCAAAATGCATAGATAAAGATAGATTGCGCATAAGACGACATTTTTCATCTTGAAAGATATAAATGTACAGAGATGATTTAAATATATTCCTATTATATAGATTAACTAGGTCGGTTGTGAACATTGGCTGTTCTTATGTCATTGAGTACTTGTGGTGTACATGAGTTCTGTAGAGAGAAAGCTATCTATGTTTATTTATTTATCTATGGTCAAAACCAACATCATTCTGATCTTATGATGTTCTTATTCTCTCCTTCCATGTAATATTGTTTCTCCTCCCATTTTCATCCTAAATCACTTGATTCTCCATTAATTTTCATCCTACTCCTCTTGTTTCTCCTCACATTCTCATCATACTTCTCTTGTTTCTCCTTACATTCTAATCCTACTTCTCTTGTTTGTCCCCTCATTCTCATCATACTTCTCTTGTTTCTCCTCACATTCTCATCCTACTTCTCTTGTTTGTCCCCTCATTCTCATCATACTTCTCTTGTTTGTCCTCACATTCTCATCCTGCTTCTCTTGTTTCTCCTCTCATTTTCATCATACTTCTCTTGTTTCTCCTCTCATTCTCATCATGATTCTCTTGTTTCTCCTCACATTCTCATCATACTTCTCTTGTTTCTCCTCACATTTTCATCCTACTTCTCTTGTTTCTACTCTTATTATCATCATACTTTTCTTGTTTCTCCTCTCATTCTCATCATGATTCTCTTATTTCTCCTCTCATTCTCATACTTCTCTTGTTTCTACTCTTATTATCATCATACTCCTCTTGTTTCTCCTCACATTCTCATCCTACTTCTCTTGTTTCTCCTCTCATTCTCATCATACTTCTCTTGTTTCTACTCTCCTTTTCATCATACTTATCTTGTTTCTCCTCTCACTTTCATCCTATTTCTCTTGTTTCTCCTCTCATTTTCATCATACTTCTATTGTTTCTCCTCTCATTTTCATCATACATCTCTTGTTTCTCTTCTCATTTTCATCATACTTCTCTTGTTTCTCCTCTCATTCTCATCATACTTCTCTTGTTTCTCCTCTCATTTTCATCATACTTCTCTTGTTTCTCCCCTCATTCTCATCATACTTCTCTTGTTTATCCTCTCATTTTCATCCTACTTCTCTTGTTTCTCTTCTCATTTTCATCATACTTCTCTTGTTTCTCCCCACATTCTCATCATACTTCTCTTGTTTCTCCTCTCATTTTCATCATACGTCTCTTGTTTCTCCTCCCATTCTCATCCTACTCCTCTTAATTCTCCTCTCATTCTCATCATGATTCTCATGTTTCTCCTCTCATTCTTATAATTCTCCTCTTGTTTCTACTCTTATCATCATCTACTCCTCTGTTTTCTCCTCTCATTCTCACGTACTCCTCTTGTTTCTCCTCACATTCTCATCCTACTTCTCTTGTTTCTCCTCTCATTCTCATCCTACTCCTCTTGATTCTCCTCTCATTCTCATCATGATTCTCTTGTTTTTCCTCTCATTCTCATAATTCTCCTCTGAAGTCTGATCAGAAGCAGGAAGAAGAGAAGATCTTCAAGCTTAATTCTCAACATATTTATAGAATTTGTAATATATTTATATCCTGAGAATATCAGTAAATATATAATCTTCACACCCCTCTCGTTCTCCTGTCCAATTCCTACTTCTACCCCTTCTCATGTCTTTCTTAGGTTCTTGTAACAACGTTAAATTCAATCCTCCACTTCCTTTTATATTTCATATTGTTAACTTTGTTCAAACCCACCAAAATCTGATTTGAACCATCAACATAACCGACATTCCCGTTAATATATTTACGTCGTCTTTATTGAACTCTGGAATTAGACGCGGCGCGAAATTTTAAAGATTTGAATTTAAACCGAGCCAGAGAAACGGCCCGTGGCCGTACCGTCCGTTTTCACTCAGTTTCTCACTCTGTAAGTGTAGTATGTCTACTGCTAAGTGCTACTCTTGGAACTATGTAGTACTAGTAGTAAGTAGTAGTTTTAAGTTCTATGGAGGTGANCTCACTCTGTAAGTGTAGTATGTCTACTGCTAAGTGCTACTACTCTTGGAACTATGTAGTACTAGTAGTAAGTAGTAGTTTTAAGTTCTATGGAGGTGAAGTGTGAACGTGAAAGATTCTAAGCAGATTTTTTTTGTTTTTGTTAAAATATGTTTTTTAATTTTAGAAAAATTTTAAAGATGGATTATCGTGAACGAGATAATGGCGGTGGAACTGCCGTTGCTAAGTTTCAAACTGACAATACTTCCTATTTCGAGGTAACTCATGTTTTAAGGATATGATACAAAGCAAATAGATTTATTGGACACTTAATAAATCACTTACTTAGGGAATGAATGTGTTCCCACCGAACAATTGCTGTGTCTAATGTTTATTGAACTTGTATTTGAAGTCATCACTTGAGTCCAAAAGTCGTCTTCCTATTTCAGAATATTCTCAGGTTAAGTTTGATTCAGTTTAACCTAAATCTGGGCTAAATCGGACAATGGCTAGTTAAGCATGAAAATTGGTAAATAAGACTTTATTAACTTGGTCGCAAATTAGATATTTTACGGAAATAAACTTTAGTTAATCAATATTTTTCTTCATCAAGGTTAACAGAACCCCACCTGATGAGAAAAGGCGAGCTGAGAAAGCTGCTCTGATGGCGGCTAGTCAGGAGATTTCTTTCCTCCTTCTCACCCCTTTCACAGCCATCCCCAGAATATCCTTTGACAAGATAAAGCTTGGTTCTAGTGCTGTAAGGCAGCTTGTTATCCGGAATCCTGGAGATAAACCACTAGACGTATCCCTGGAGAAGCTCCCGATCGAGGAGAAGGGGTTTGAGGTTGATTATGTAAATTTCCGACTGGGAGGGAGGGAGGAGACTACACTGCTTGTTGGCTGGACTCCTCTGAAAGGAGGAGCCGTTAGAGATAGTTTTATAGTTAAGTTTGGTGGGTTTCGGAGCCAAGTTATTCTGATCGGTTCCTGTGTTGCACCAGAAGAAAAAAAATCGAACCCAGCCCCACCGAGAAGTGTTAAACCCTTAGGTCCTAAGAATTCGCAGAAATTGGTGAAAGGACGGCCGACGTTTCCTGCATCTAAGCTAAATACAGCCCCGAAAATCAGTATTCCGCCGAACCCTGTGGTTCGGAAGTCTGTGTCTCCTCCGAAGCGGATGTTTGGGGGAGGGATCGGAGGTTCTCATGAGATCCTTGAGTCTTACTCCGATTCAACCAACTCAAGACGAGAAACATTTGTTAGGTTTGTTAACGATTTTAAGCTAAGCATATAAAAAGTAATATGTTTTAAGGGCGGGGCTACTCTTGGAACTATGTAGTACTAGTNTTTCCCCCTAAAATGTTCTTGCTAGCAATTCAGCGAGAAGGAAATGATTTCCAAAGTTTTAAGTTCATAATATTTAATTCTAGAGAGAGACCTGCACCTGCCATGAATGATGTGCTAGAGAGTACACCGATTAATCCGGGAAAAACACAGAAATTCACCAGAGCGCAGGAGGATCCGGAGGTGATGGGTCCTCCTTGTATAATTCCCCTAGAACGGAGACAAACCTTTTCGGAGAACAAAGAAAACTCCGCCCCTGTTTTACGAAGAGAAACTTTCAAGCCTGAAGATCTAGAGAACAGGTTTGGAATGCCACTAAGACGAGAAACGTATGTGTTTACGCAAACTGAATCATGGACGCCACAGAAACTTCATATAAATCCTGAGCGTAAGAAATGGGAAGCTGAACCTATAGGGAATCTCTCCGGACTGCAGAGGTTAGATGAGAGCGCAGAGGAAAGTGTATTTTCAAGCACCAATACAGTCTGTGAGGAGAGTTCAATAACATCAATACCAAATATAGTTCTCATCGAACCTGATGAACCCTTGAACCTGAGTGTTAAAAAGGTTCCGCAGATATATCAGCCGGACGTATCAGACATTAGCCTCGCAGATTTCAGTCTGAATATCACGGAGAATGAGATGAGTATGGCCATGAACATGTCGGAGTTCTGTCCAGAGAGGTTAGGTGAGTTGGACCCGGAGCTAGAGGATATAGAGGATAGAGAACTAGAGGCTGAAATAGATCGACTTGCAGAAGCTAGGGCAGCCTCCGGTTGCAGGTACCTCAAAAACCTTCTTAACTTAAATATAGGAAAAATGTTTTTATGGAAAACACTGCAGTTCACTTAAAAAATTACATGTTTCTGGTTTAAATAATTCTAAATACAGTATGATGCTCCCAAGGTACTAATGCAAGGAAAGTTGTTTCAGAGGTTTACGCATTTTTTGTACTGCAGTGCACTGTCTTTGGGCGGAAAAGTAAACACAAGACGGATGTCACCGCCTGACATGGAATAAATTTTCACAAAAAATAATCTATGAAATATTCTTGTCATAGGAAACTAATACGTAAATTTTCAAAATTATCAAATTAAATGCTTTTAACCTCATCGGATACCAGACGAACACCGATGCATCTATACTTGTTTACAAATTCCGCCCAGAGAGAACTGGTTTCAATATGTACGCAGAGTAAACGCGACCGCAATTAACTTTCCTTGCATTAGTACCTTGGATGCTCCCTTCCTCATGTAACAGGACTATTGACGTAAAGTGGCCCTCTCTTGAAGGAGTGACATATACGATTGACAACGTTACCAATAAAAGCTTTGTCAGATCAAATATGAATAAGATCAGCATTTTCTTTATTTTAAAACTGACTTATTACATTTGTAATTTCTCTTCACAAGAGACTTTTGCATTTCTTGTGTTATGGAGAAGTTAACAGAATTAAATATTTTTCAAGCATGAAAACGACGTTATTTTCCAAATTATTGATCAGATTAAGGGGTCTAGGGTACTGTTGTTAATCGGGCAAACCCCTTTATAAATGGAGGGTCACTTAAAATTTCAACTACAATACTTAATTGGCGCTAACAGTATTGCAAAAGCCAAAATGAACCATTTTTAAAGCATCGAAAGAATTAATTTTCACTCTGTAAATCTGTTAAATTCGTTCAAATATTTTAGGGATGAAATTATAGATCATGAACAATCTCCAGCGCAAGTAGTAGGAAGCAGGTTGAGCTCCGGTACCATGATAAAGGTTGCTCCGTCCCTGCATGCATCCTTCCTACCGGATATAACGGATATAGAGATATCCCTGGCTATCCCGGAGTTGGATGTGATAGAAACCTCGACAACTCATCATGTATGTATATTATATTTTGTATCCTTACAAAATATCATTTGTTAGAAAGTTTAAAATCCTCCAAAACTAGTAAATCTCATTTGTTATCAATGTAATGTATGACTAGAAAAGCAAGGTTTATAACCCACCAATATTATTACCTACTTAATAAAAATACTTTTTTAAATATCTACTTATAACCCATGACTAAAAAAGACTGATTGTGTTCTTCATTTTCTTGATTTTATTGAATTATGGTTGAAGTAAAATTTTCACAAACTCATTCCAGTTTTGAGAGCATTTGTACAAATGTATTCAAGCTTCTTGATTTCAATGAGAAACATCAAATTATTTTTATCTAAAACTTCTTTTTCTTTTCTTGAACAGTCCATTGATTTAATTTTCAACTTTTACAGGAGGAGAGAATGATTACTGAGAAGGAGTATATACGCGAGGAGATTATTCAGGAGGTTATTGAGTACGAGTATGAGGTTGTGGATAACCAGAGGGTTTGTGTTGGAGAACGAAACCTGGGACGGACTGTTACAGTACAAGTAAGTACTAAATTCTTCCTAACTAAAAGCTAATTAATTTTTAAAATTCGATGATGATGATGATGAACCAAACCTCATGGAGTAATTAGAGTAGATGTTAGTTCCACATTTTATTGTAAATATATTTTGGTCTGGTTGGACCCTCGTCAGTTCTTGAGATTGTTTCTGTCATGAAGATTTTGAAAGTTGATAGGAGTTGCTTCACGTTTGTTTCTAGAAATAAAATCAAAAAAATGTTGGTGCTCTAAACATTTCTAACTTCTGGAGGGGAAGGAATGATTTTTAAAGAAAATATACGCACCTGTATGATTTCCTTTGAATTAAATGTATGCTTTCTTTATACTTACTTGGGGTTACTTCGTATATTAGCTCAAGGATTCCAGTCAGGCAAAAAGTTTCAAGTTATGGTCAGAAACCAAAGAAATGGAAATGCGTTTTAGATCCTAAGAACAGGGTATTAATTGAATAAGTATGATTTATTTCGATTTAATAAAACTTATGTATTTTTATTTGAAAATATTGTAAATATTTAAATAACTCTAATCTTGGTTCAACAAATTATCAATCTCTGAATGTATTGAATCATGGTAGATTCTTTCAGTAATGAGCTGAAAACTTGTTCTCCCTTTAATATTATCCTTTCAGGAGGAAGAGAGGTTTGTAAATACTCCGACAAAGGAGACCCGGACAACCAAGATGAAAACGGTGACAACCGCGGAGAAACTTGACGAGCCTTGTGATATATCCAGGCTTATTGAGAACCGTCTCTGTGCTGCTAGTCCTAGGGTGAGTAGATTCTGAACCCAACTAAACATTGTTAACCTTTGAGGATTCAACGTTTAGTAACTTCTAATTTTTTTTATCCGCGTCTGTCAATTTTGTGATTGCGTACTATGTTAGAAATATTGCTCAACATTAAAGGGAGAGGCACTTCCTGGACTTTTATCCTAAAGTGCGTCCTCAATGTGCGTCCCCTATAATTGCTCCAACTTTAGATCCTCATTATAATCCTCACAAGTCTTTCATCTCTAGTGCATCCGAATAAGTGCAACAGAGAATGTTTATTTTTGTCCCATTTTTCGTAGAATATTATAAATAGTATTCTCTTTAGAGTATACCCCGGGGTGTTCATGTGACTGAATCTGAGTTGACCGGTATGCTGGGCATGCTGGCTCTATCCAAGACTTTGGAGAACCCGGAGCCAATCCAACCCAACCAAGCGGAGAACATATCCCCGGTATCATATTCCAAGATGGATTTATTATCGAAGAATTACACAGGTTAGGAATTTTTTAGTCTTCATAATTGAAAATTTTGATTACAGATGAAATTTTCAATTATGACGTTTCTTCATATTTTCTTTATAATAATTCTAAATTAAATAGATACTTACAGTAACAACCAGTGAAGTAAGAAGACGACTGATAGAATCAATTTCTAACTTTCAAAAGTCCAAAAAACATAAGACACAGCAATTGTGCATTGTAAACAAACCCATTTCACTAAATTAGTGATTAAATAAGTGTCGAGTAAAACATCAAATACACTTGAGTATCGTTATAATGTCTTGCTATTCTATGGCTTTCTTGTTATTACTGTATTAAAATAAAACGCTACCTTTTTTTAATCTCGGAAACTTTTTTATAATAGGCTACCTGTCCTGTATGTAGTACGTTTGTGCAAATTTGTCAAATTCTTTAAGAAAATTGTACTGAAATTTGGATTTTCAGGATTTTACGCTTTACAATCTAAGTTTCTTCAAAAATGTAAAAGTAGGAAGTAATTGGCGGAGATGTCCGCCTTCGTTGTTTTCAAGAAATGTATTGATATTATCCTCTCAAGATAACGTCTCTGTGTAAGGGAAGGGGGGGGAGTGGTAATGGAACGAAACTATTTGCACATTATGTTATTTCAACGATTTAGGATTACCCGGTTTGAAAGGATCTCCTCGGATCAGTAACCAGCAGTATCCGTCCTCTCAGAGTTTTCTACAGAAAACTATTCATGAGACAAGTTTCCTTCCACCTAGTCCTGATGATCCTCGTCGTTGCTCAACAGGGGTCAAGAAAAAGGTAAAATATTAGTGATTAGGATCCACTTAATTTTGATGCGGATCCGGATCCTGGATCCGCTTTGGAAAAAAATGAATCTGGATCTGGATCCAGTTCATTTCTTAAAGATTAACTGAATTTTAACAAAACATAAATTTCCATTTTTTTATTTTATTTTTTTTCCTTATTTTTATCCTAAAACTTGATGAACCATTCAGAAATGAGGAAAATTTTATAATCTCACTTTTTTCAAAAGTTCAGATTTGGGTTTTAGGAGTAAAAAAGTTTTTTTAAAGTTTTTGGTTGATATTTTACCCCTTGGATCCGGATCCTAAGCACTGCTCTAAATTGTGTTACCTTTTAGTTTTTGAAGAAAATTCGTCTGAAACAATTATGAAAGATTTGAGTAGAAAAAATACTTGAAAAATTATTGAATGTTCTTGAAAAATACATTTTCTCTTATTTAGCCAAAAATCCTTTTTAAGCCCTACGCAAACATTCCTTTTACAGGAGAAAATGAATAATTTTGTAAAAATATTTTTGAAATAGATAACGGTTTTAGACAATGTTATCACCCCTCCCCCCCCCACCCCCCACACTCACACACACACCCTCTCACACACACATACACACACAAAACTAAGGTTTTTCAACCCAACGCTTTTTATAATTTCTGTAATGTGTTTCCTGACTTAACATATATCTATCATTAGGAAAGTTTTGAAAGCTTTGAGGTATCCTGCGACATTAAGAAGTCTCTGTTTAATGATAAACCCGAGGAAAATGAGGAGAAACTAGGAGAAGGAGATGAATTCGAACCTGTTCCTCTTTCTTCAGGTAGCAAAGAGAATGTCCAGTGCTGAACTGAACTTAAATGATCTTTTTGTCCAATTCAAATGATTGTAAATTTTGTTGGATAATATTTTACAGATCTTGTGCTGGGGTTCTTATTTAGATTTTTTTATGTACATCGTTATGCAGTTAGTTAAAATTGCTAAAAATAAGAAAATTCTTACTTCAAATGCTCACATATCACAATTTTACAATGGTAAAAATTTTAAAAAAATAGCCCCCCCCCAGCGCGAAAAAAAAGATTGGGTTTTTTTTTGTGTGGGGTAATAACAAATTCACTCATCAATCTTTCAAGTTTTCCCCCTTACTTTTACTTTTTACCAAAATTCATTCATTTCCCAAAAATTAAGCGAAATAAATCATTTTATACTGTCTCAAAAAAGATGTATTGATTTGGTCAGGGGGATGTTAATTCTTATAAAAGATGTACACCTCTGCAAATATTTGAATCTGTAGGTGGACATGAGCTGCCTGTAATTTCGGATCATGAGCCTGGTTCTCCAAACTCCAGGCTTAGCTCTGAAACCTATATTGCTTCTCAGAACTCTAAACCCCTCTCCATCATTCAAGTAAGCTTTCTCAACTAAGGGTTTAACTAGTGCTTAGAATCCGCAACATTTTCAACCCTAAATCTAAATTTTGAAACTAAGAGAGAGATTATCAAAAATTATCGAAAATGGTTCATCGAGTTTTAACAACAACAAAAAAACCAAAAAAGAAGAAAAATTATTTAAAATTCTTTTTATTTTTATTTTTTAAATCTTGTAAGAAATATTCGAGACATGGAGCCGGATCTGGATCCGCATCAAAATTAAATGAATCCTAAGCACTGGTTTTAACTTGCCTCTTATCACTTCTTACTCTCTTTCAAATTATCTTTCCATTATCGACACTTTTTAATGAATAAGTTATAAACAAGAGTTTTCATGCCGAAAATAATTTGAATATGAAATTAATATTTATTTTTTTGAGGTTTAAATTAAATTATAAACAAAACAAAAATTATTTATGAGTGTTGAAAATTGTTCTAAAAGGAATTAATGTAATTTTGTAAATATCAAATTTTATTTATTTTGATTAACAGGAGTTGGACGAGAACACTGTATCAACTCGAGAAACTAACTTAACTTTCATGGCGAAGGAGGAATCTCTCGTCAGTTTAAACAAACAGGAGGAGATATCAAAACCAAACCCTTCTCCTCAACCTAGAATTGAGGAACGGACGACCATTAGTTCAAGAACTCCCATCAGAAGACGTCGGAGCAACGTGGAGTATATCAAGAAACCTATCGAGCAAATTGCAACGGAGAAACCGGAGAAATTAATGCAAGCCAGTAGCTCCGGGTTCATGTTTGTCTCCGTTTCTCCGGGCACACAAGAGAAACGGAAATCCATTGAGAACAAGAAACATAATAAACCTGATCTAAAAAGACCCCGGATGTCTGTTGCTGGTTTAATCTACAGGCCCCCGGCTACAGTAGTAGCCAGTAAAAACCCCGTCCAACCTCGACCAATTAATGCTGCTAAAGCAAGAATGAGTCTTCAGAAACCCATAGGACTCAATAAATCCTCGGGAGGAGGAAGACGATCTCTTCATTCTGCTCCTAAGCTAACCCTGAGTATACCCACTAAACCTGTAGTTATCCATCGTCCTAATCCATATGCCTCCAGAAACAGATACTATGATGAGAGATGGGTTGAGAAGCAGGAGAAAGGGTTCTCCAACTGGTTGAACTTTATCCTAACTCCTCAAGGACTAGAGAACGAGGGATCAATTTCTATCGGGAAGGTTGATGTTGCAAAGCTGTGGAGCCAGTGTTCCCAAGATGTCAAGGTTCCTCGTGCTCCAACTAGAGAAGTGATGTCAATGCGTGCATACACCGCAAAGCGAGAGATGAATCGCCTCCGTAGGTCAGCTTGTAGATTATGGCAGTCCAAACCTGTTGCAAGTGTGATTAGTAAACTGGAGGTCGAGGTGGAGAAGATGAGACTTGCAATCCGGAAAGATAAGAATATAAACAAGGATGTTGGGATGAAACAGAAGATACTTTATCTCATACTTTCTTACAACCCTCTCTGGTTGAGGGTTGGGTTGGAAACTATATACGGAGAACTGCTCCAGTTGAACGGAAACAACGACCTTGTTGGACTTTCCATGTTCCTTGTTACCAGGCTCCTGTCCTGTCCGGATATCCTGGCGGAGTTTGCTCATCCCACGGTTCCCCACTCCTACAGAGAGGGACACCAGGAAGCCTTGAACAAGTTCACTCTGAAGCAGTTCCTGGAGCTGGTTTTCTTCCTTGACGTGGCCAAGGAGAATAAGTTGATACAACACAATCCTTGCCTCTTCTGTCCTGACAGCAAGATTAAATCTTCCCGAGAAATCCTTCTATCCTTCTCCAGGGATTATCTATCTGGAGAGGGAGATATTATCAAACATCTTGCATATCTCAAGTATCATGTAACTCATAAACAAACTGCTCTAGATGAGTTTGATTATGCTGTGACAAATATCAGCACTGATCTTAGATGTGGACTCCGTCTTTCCAAGGTTGCAGAGTTTCTCACCGGAGCAACCGTCTCAACCCAGCTTAGGGTACCCGCTGTATCTATGCTGCAGAAGGTTCACAACACCGAGGTTGCGTTGAAGGAGCTGAGACGGGCTACTTCTAGTATCCCAACCAACATCACATCCAAGGATATTGTTAACGGGCACAGAGAGAAAACCTTGACTCTTCTTTGGAGTATCATTTATGGATTTCAGCTTTCAGCTATCCTGGATGCTGATAAGCTCAGGGAAGAAATTTTACATCTGCGACGATCCCTTCGTGTTCGAATTCGTCTGGGGGATACTGCAGCGATCAAGGGAATGAATTTCTTGACAGAGCTGGCGTCTAGATCTCCAGGCGTTGAATCCGAGTCAGCTGTCGATGGAGCTGATGTAGTGTTGCTTAAGGAGTGGGCGCAGTTGGTGACAGCCCATTACAATGTTGAGGTATAAATAAGATCAAGAATATTTCGTTTTTTTTAAATTGATTGATGATGAAGGAATTGATTACTCGCATTCTTATTTTTTTAATCCTTATATCTATGGAACCTGAAGTCAAACACCTTTGAAATTTCAAACTATGAATTCTGCTAGATCAGTCGTTATTTGAAATATCAAGGTTTACACCATCAGGTTTTAAAGTTACAAGGATTAGAAAATTTGAGTTTAAGGTGAGTACTGAGTAATTAGTTCCCTGTGAGCTAAGATTGTCTGTTAAATTGGTTTTTAGTTTCATTGAGGATAAGTTTAAGACTTTTTCCATTTATCCAGTAATCTATCTGAAAATCTATATATATATAATCTATCCGTACCTCTATCTATCTCTTTTTATGTATGTAGGTTGAGAACTGGACTGTATCCTGGTGTGATGGACGAGGATTATGTTTCCTCCTCTACCATTACCAACCTGGACTAATCACTCTCCAGGATATATTCCAGGTACAGATTCAACCTTATATATTATTATCGGTTGCGTCTCAAGATGACGAGGGGGGGGGGAGGCTCTCGGGTTCCCTTCCTTCTATTTTAACGTTTAATTGTTGCTTTTTACCGTTCGCTTTTCGTGGATTTTGAAAAATCTTGATTTTTTTCAGGCAAATTTGTTCAATTCTTTCGATTCCCAGGAATCATGTTAGGTCCTTCAAAAAATTTGGGCCGATCGGTTCAGCCGTTTTGACGTTTATCGGTTACAAACAAAGAAACAAGACAGACAAGCAAAGTTTATATATATAGATAGGTTTTTTTTTTAAATAAATGAATGTTCGCAAGCATAGCAAAGCTGAGAGAAATAATTCTAGAATAATTGAGAACAAAATTCACAACTCCATAATCGATAAGGATAAAATCTGGGGTAAATTATTTCTAACGATTGGGGGGAATTAAAAACTTAAAAATAATATCTTTAATGGAACTGTAAGCGTTATTTCAACTGACCCTTTAGGCAAAGATGACAATGCGCGATTCACAACGGTACCCTTAAAACTTAAATTGATTAATATTGTTGGTTTTCTAGTATAAACAGCGTTTAAATCCTATAATTCACATATGTTTTCCTGCAGCAGAAATGCGCAAGTTATTTTGTAGAAAACCCACAACCGAAAATTTTCAGTATTCTAAATTATAAACATTGATATTTAATTCATACTTGATCAGACAAAGCTTCAAAGGGTACCGTTGTGAATCGGGTATTGCCATGAAGGGTTACTTGAAGTGCGTTTAAGTCCCTTTAAATAAATTAAACTGTATTGTATTAGGAAACCACAACTACAAGCTTAGCTGGGTCTGCCGCCCTGGATGATAGTTTAGATTTCAGCTACGGACAGAAAGGAGTAGATAAGGAACAGCACGCGGCTCTTCTTGAAAACGAAAAGAAAAATTTTAAACTGCTGCTCAGTAAGGTAATACTAAAATATTAGATTAAACATACAGTCGTATGGAAACTGAAAGTCAAGAAGTCCTAATATTCTGACCAATAATGAAGATTTAAAATTCAGTGATGGTGATGGACCAAACCTCTGTAGAGTAAAAAAGTAGATGTTAGTTCCACATTTATTGAAAATATATTTCGGTCTGGGTTGACCCTCGTCAGTTCTTAAAATTGTTTCTTCACAAAGATTAAAAACAATGTAATGAAGTATTTACCAATTACTGTTCTTGGCATGGTTTCAAAATGAGATTGAGATTTGTCTAATTTTTTTTTCTCATTTGGTTTATAAAATAGGTGGAGTCCCTTGTCTTATCAGTCCTGGAGATGTAATCTTTTATCTACTGCGATCCTTTTAATGGTTTCGGAGCAAAGCTGAGTTTATTCTATAATCTCTGAGATATGTTAAATTCTATGGTATTCTAATCAATCCTGGAGATATGTTCAAATCTACCCTGTTAAAGTTTCGGAGCTAGGAGGAGTTTCTAATCCATCCTGGAGATATGTCCAATACTATCCTGTTTAGGTTTCCGAGCTAGGAAGAGTTCCTATTCTAATTAACCCTGGAGATATGTTCCTATTCTATTCCATCCTGGAGAAATGTCCAATACTATTCTGTTTAGGTTTCGGAGCTAGGAGGAGTTCCTATTCTAATCAATCCTGGAGATATGTCCAATACTATCCTGTTTAGGTNGTTCTATGCAGGAGGAGATTCAATACTATCCTGTTTAGGTTGCGGAGCTAGGAGAAGTTCATATTTTAATCCTGGAGATATGTCCAATACTATGCTGTTTAGGTTTCGGATCAACCCTGGAGATATATTCAAATCTATCCTGTTAAGGTTTCGGAGCTAGTAGGAGTTCCTGCTGTAATCAACCCTAAAATATGTCCAATACTATCCTTTTTTTCGGAGCTAGGAGGAGTTCGCATTTTAATCAACCCTGGAGAAATGTCCAATACTATTCTGTTTAGGTTGTGGAGCTAGGAGGAGTTCCTATTCTTATCAACCCTGGAGATATGTCCAATACTATCCTGTTTAGGTTGCGGAGCTAGGAGATTCTAATCAACCCTGGAGATATGTCCAATACTATTCAGTTTAGGTTGCGGAGCTAGGAGGAGTTCCTATTCTTATCAACCCTGGAGATATGTCCAATACTATTCTGTTTAGGTTGCGGAGCTAGGAGGAGTTCCTATTCTAATCAACCCTGGAGATATGTCCAATACTATCCCTGATGAAAAAGTTACTTTGACCTTTATTGGATACCTGGCAGCTCGTCTACTAGATATTTCTAGGTAAATACATTTTTGTGCGTTCTTTTTTCTTTCTCAATATATTTCTTTTTGTGCATATAAGTGAAAAATCCTGAGTAATCCCTGTTTGTTTGTTTGTTTGCTTATATGTCCGATCATAGCTCATGACCCCTTGACCGATTTGCCCTAAATTTTGGTAGGGAACTTAGTAGAAACACGAAAATGTTTTTAGCTTGGTTTAAAAATTCTATGTTGAGTGGGTCGGCTTTTACAGAGAAAGTTAGTTTCCTGGCAAAGCTGAGTTCCTTAGCTAGTCATTTAATAAAAAAAATCTAATGACATCCAGTCATTAACGGTTACATTTTAAGATTACCGGAATGAATTTTAAATGCCGCACAATTACAAAATACAAGAGCTCAATGGGACGGTCGGGAAAGAGCCAGATTGAATTTTTATATGCAGAATCAATATGGTTTCAAATTAAACTAATTTTTTAGGGAGATCAAGGCCGCCCGTGTTATCCAGCTAGCCTGGAGAAAATACTACGCCGTGAAAAGAGAGGAGAAGATGAAGGTGAAATACCAATCTTGATTCATCCTTGATATCTTCAATCCCGGAGATTAACAGTTTTCGATTGTAATTTGTACAGATTTTGGTGGCGCTCTTTTCTAACTAACAATGTTGATACATCTATCAGATAAATAAACTTTAATCATAACTTTAAACCTTCATTGAACTTTATGCTATTGAGTAATATTCGGAGTTTCATGAGCAAAGAAATGATTAAACAGATTCCGAATGTTACAATGTATTTTGTTCATTGAAGAAGCTTAAAGCCCGCCAGAATCAATGAACAAAATACACATTAAACCTGTTATAATAAAATAGAATGCTTAAAACTGCAGAGATTATTAAAGATTACTTTATTACCGCCTTTTTTACAAACATTAAGCTTATAGGGCGCTTCGTGCCCATCTTCTATTTCCATTGTGAACATGTTCTCTTTGTATGCATTGTAAAACAAAACAAAATTTCGCAGATTAAAAAAAATCGTAGATTTTCAAAATTTTCAAGAATAGAATTTTGTTACAAGCACATTTTTGAAAATTCGATCATCCAATTAACCTTTCCTGGGGTCACGTGAGGTCCCACACAAAATTTGGTCCAGATCGGTTCAGCTGTTTCGACGTTTATAGGATACGAACAGACAAGCAAAGTGTAAATAGTATAGATTACCGACCCATGATTCCCTCAAAAGAGGGAATTTAAGTTTTTAACGTCCCTTGGGACAGTTCGTAAAATAACAACCCGCTCTGCGAAATGTTCTTGAAAAAAATCGTGCATTTTTACCTCTTAAGACGATAAAATTGCGTACAACTCCTTTTTCGGGAAATTGAAAATTTTACTTAAACTATGGTCCCCTCGACCAATTTTGCCTACAAAACATCCCTGGCTGCCTACTCTTAAGTTTTGTAAGCAAAATTTGTTTTTAACCCCCTTGGTAAAGTAAAGTTGTTGTAATCAAATTACACTGCACATAATTATTTTTTTCTTAATGATTTGATCAATTCTTTATTTTTAGAATATAAAAATAATATTAAAGCATCATATAATAATAGTTATTTTACAATTTACTTATTGGTGGAAATTTTCTTTTGTTGTTGAAGGGGACTTGGCCTTTATTTCTACGGAATAATGGTTGATCGTTAATAATTTTTAATTCTTAGTTTTTTCAATTTGATTTGATTTTTGTGTTGAAAATGGAACCGAGTTTTTGCCACAAAATAAAGTTCTAATATCTCTTTTGGCAACCTGATGGTGAACGTGTAAACTTTGACTTTTTGATTCTACAAACTTCGTAGTTTGACATATCAAAGGTCCAAGACATCGTGTTGCAAAGATATAGTGATTAAGAAATTTTGTTCGTGGCAAAAACTCATTTCCTTTATGTGCGATATGGCGTTTAAATTGAAAACCCGAACGAAATTTTTTTTCTATTTGAGAGTGAAATATTTGTTCTGGGTAAATTATTGATAAGAGTAAATTATTGCTGAGAGTAAATTTTTGATTATTTAATTTTTATTATGAATTTGAGTTAAAAATTCATTAATAGAGATTTTCCTTTTTCAATCTTACATTTTTTTCCTCATAAGATTATCATATTCTCTTTAGAGTATACCCCGGGGTGTTCATGTGACTGAATCTGAGTTGACCGGTATGCTGGGCATGCTGGCTCTATCCAAGACTTTGGAGAACCCGGAGCCAATCCAACCCAACCAAGCGGAGAACATATCCCCGGTATCATATTCCAAGATGGATTTATTATCGAAGAATTACACAGGTTAGGAATTTTTTAGTCTTCATAATTGAAAATTTTGATTACAGATGAAATTTTCAATTATGACGTTTCTTCATATTTTCTTTATAATAATTCTAAATTAAATAGATACTTACAGTAACAACCAGTGAAGTAAGAAGACGACTGATAGAATCAATTTAATATGATTTTTCTCAGAAATCTATTGAAAAATTCTTTAAAGAATTTTACAAAAATTCTTTAAAACATTTTTGTTATTCATAATGTATTTCATAATATAGTGAGTTTAAATCGGGTAAAAACATTTTTTTGTAAGTTCTATGTGGGTTTATTGCATTTAAACATTAATGTTCCAAATTTACCCCTAGTTAACTCCAGGTTGAGATTGCGGCTGCTAAACTGATTCAGAGAGAGGTTCGACGCTTTCTCAAGATCCGAAGATTTGAACGATATCTAGCCGCAGCGATAAAAATACAAACTGCGTTCAGAGGGTATATTTTTTAGCTAAATTAGAATTTGTTCGGCTAAGATTGGTAGCAGTTTATTAGACATTTACAGTGTAACCCATGAAAATGTGGAATAGGAATAAGACTGTTGACTCCATTTAGGGTTTTAAATAGCCCAATAAACGTAAAAATACAGTAAATGTTTAAGTTAAACAGACTCATCTCCATTCAGAAGTTGCTTTTCAAGATACTGTTAACCCAATTTGTTTTATTACAACATTAAAAATACAGAAGATGGCTTAAATTTCGTCGATCTTTTCCTCAGTTTTATGGACTCCACTGTCTAATACTTGGATTAAATTTCTGAATTAAAAGTAGATTTTATTTGTTCAGATATCGAGCCCATCAGGAGTTATTGAGACTCCGAGTAGATAAGCGTAGAGGAGAACTAGAGAGAGCAGCCCTAGTTCTACAGAGATACTGGAGAACTAGATCCTGCAGGATCCAACTTAAGCTAAGAAAACAAAGTTTGATCAAGATTCAATCTGTCATCAGATGTTTCATCGCTAGACGAAGATATCTGAAGACTAGAACTGCTGTTATTATGATCCAGCGTCGATATCGAGTCCGACATGTCGGACAATCCTTTAGAAAAGAATTCTTGGCGATGAAATCTGCCACGGTTAGGATCCAGGCTGTGTGGAGAGGATATATGATACGGAGAGAAGCAGAAAAGATGAGAGTTGCTGCGACGAAAATACAATCTGTACTCAGATGTGTACTCGAGAGAAGACGGTTTGTAACTCTCAAGAAAACTGTTGTTCATATTCAATCTATGTACAGAGCTAAGATTAAGTGCAGATCTATAAGATCAAGTTTTATAGAACAAAAGAGGAGTTGTTTAAAGATTCAATCCTGGTTCAGAATGAGACTGAATTCTAGAGTCTATATGGAGAAGAGGAGAAGTGCAATACTAATCCAGTCCGTGCTTCGTGGATATCTTTGTCGACGAGAGCTGCGTAAACAAGAATCTGCGGTCTATATTATCCAGACAAGATGGAGAGCAGTCAGAGAAACCAGGAGTGCAGTTGTTAGGTTTCAGTTTACACGGAGTAAGATTGTAACCCTGCAGAGCTGGTTCAGAATGATGGTACAGAGAACTAGATATCTAACCCTGCGGAGAAGCATAATTATGGTTCAGGCCTGTATCCGCGGAAACCAGGTGAGACGGGAGAAAGAGAAGAAACTATCTGCGGTGTTGAAGATCCAGCAGTATTGGAGAGGATCAATGGAAACCAGGAAACGAGTTGCAGGATATCAGTTAATCCGTTACAGCGCAGTTGTTCTTCAAGCCTGGAGCAAGATGCTTTCTCACAGAAGGAAATATTTGGCCCTGAAGCGCTCCGTTGTTATGATTCAATCTAGATTCAGGGGAAACCAGACCAGAAACCTTATCCAGACTCAACACTTAGCAGCTTCTAGTATACAAACCTACTGGAGATCAAACAAGGTTTCAAAACAGGTTGCATTAGAATACCAGAGAAAGAGATCTGCATCTGTTTATATCCAAGCCTGGTTTAGAATGCAGGTTAAACGAGTATCATACCAGAAGGTTCAACATGCTGTTGTACTTATACAGGCAAATGTTCGAGGAGTTCTGGTTCGAAACCGTTTCAGTCTAGAGAAATCATCTGTCACCAAGATCCAGCGCTATTGGAGAGGAATGCTTGAAACAAGAAGATTGGTATCCGATTATCAGACACAACGATATAATGTAGTTCTCCTGCAATCCTGGTATAGAGGTGTTTCGCAGAGAAATAAATTCTGTAAACTGAAACATTCAGTTCTCCTTATACAATCCAGATTAAAAGGAAATCTGACCCGAAAATTAATAAAAGGCCAACAATTAGCTGCTCTAAAGATCCAAGCTTACTGGAGATCATACAAAGTATCGAACCAAATAGCGGAAGAGTATCAGAGTAAGAGAAAGGCAGCTTTGTTAATCCAGTCCTGGATTAGGATGCAAGTTCAGAGAATATCATATCAGAAAATCCGGGTAAGCGCTGTATTTATTCAAGCCCATACTAGAGGTATCCAGGTTCGAACACGTCTAAGACTGGAGAAATCGTCAGCTACTACAATTCAGCGCTACTGGAGAGGATATAAGGAAACTAGAATAGAACGCCGTAAGTTCTTGAAGTATAAGACTAATGTCATTCAGATACAAAGCTTAGTCCGCGGTTTCATAGAAAGAAAGAGATATAACTCGATAAAGAAATCTGCCAAACTGATCCAAGCCTATTTCAGAGGCAAGATTGTCAGAGAAACTCTAATGACTGAAAATAGTTCAGCTCTGGTCATTCAAACCTACTGGAGAAGATACCAACTTACTAAAGCTGACAGAGCCAGATATCTGAAGCTGAAGTCTTCAGCAATACTGATTCAATCTCAGTTTAGAATGCTCCAGGCTAGGACCAAGTATAGAACACTGAGGAAACTCTCTATCATAGTTCAGAAAAATATGAAAAGGTTTATCGCAGTACAGAGGTATAAGCGCCTCCTAGCAGCGGATAGAAGACGAAGAGAAGAGGAGATTAAGAGTGCAAGTTTGATCCAGTCTTGGTTTAGAAATCTCCGTCTCGGACGAGAAACTAGAGCAGAGTATAATCGTCAAAGAAACCTCATCATCTTTGCTCAGGCTTGTTTAAGAATGAAAAAGGAAAGGTCCGCGTTCATGTTGAAAAGAGACAGTGCTATTAAAATCCAGGCGGCTTTCCGAAAAATCCGAGAATTCAAAAAGTACACCGCTAAGAAAGAATCTGTTCTGAAGATTCAGACTTGGTTGAGGAGCAGCCTGAAGGTCAAGAAGACTAGAACTGAGTATTTGAGAACAAAGACTGCTGCTGTATTCATTCAAGCTAATTTTAGAGCTTGGAGAGCACAGCGGGATTATAAACTAAAGAAAAGAAGTGCTATCAAGATACAATCCCATGTTAGGAAAGTAATCGCAAAAAGACAATTCCGTTCTCTCCGTCTTAGAACGGTTCAAGTCCAGAGGATGTTTCGTCAAAGAAGCTTGATGAGAGTGGATAGATCCAAGTTTATTCTCCACAAGAAGGCTGCAATTTGTATCCAGGTATTCGCTTTAACTACTAAATCTTTTAATTTCCTTAAAGGGACAGTAAAGGAAAAATGGAAGGGGGTATAGGCTGAAAGCTAATCACTTTAGCTCTTGATCGCGACCCATGAAAGTTTTATCTGATGTTCCTGTCTCGAGAAACTAATATAAAACTGTGTTAAAAATAAAATTATACGAAAATTCATATATGTAAAATTTTGAAAATCTGAAACTTAAATCACGTGACCAGAACTATCACCAATAGGTTCTTCCAATTTCCTTAATCAAAATTTGAGGCAAATAGGTCATTAGGTTCCTGAGTTATGATCGGACTTGCAAACAAACCGAGATTACTACTTAATATATAGATTAGACATTTTTGAATTAGCAGCATAAAACTTATATTTTTCATCGTTCTTTTAAGAAGATAAAATTGTAATAGATAAATGAAAATATTTTCATAATTTATAAAAAAGTATTATTGTTTAGGTTCGAGGTTATCTTGCTAGACGAAGAACAGAACTGCTAAGACGAGAACGAACTGTGAACTTGAGTGCACTGAGAATACAAACATGGTTCCGGAGACTGCTGGCGGTCAGGCAGTTAAACCTACGCAGAAAAGAGAAAATTCAACTTGGCTCTGCTGTAATTATACAAACTAGGATAAGAGGATTTATCGCTAGAAAATTGTATTTACAAAAGAAAAATGCTGCGCTAACTTGTCAAAGTAAATGGAGAGCTGTTCTTGTGGGAAGAAAAGAACGATCCTTCTTTTTGCTTGAAAGACGGTCGGCGAGGACTTTGCAGGCTCAGTGGAGAATGATTCAATGCAGGAGGAGATTCGAACTAATGCGGAGAAACATCATCTTCTGCCAGTCCCGGGTTCGAGGAAATCTTGAAAGAAAACAATATTTAAGAAAAAGGCAGGCAGCAGTGAGGATACAGTCGTTCTATCGTGCATGGAGATTAGGACAGGAAGCACTACTCAGCTACAATATCGCAAGAACCTCTGCTATTAAAATACAAGCCTGGAGCAGAATGGTTTCCGTTAGGAACCAATTCCTTGGAAGAAAAAGAGCCGCGATGAGATTACAATCTTGGTTCCGAGGACTCAGCGCTAAGTTGAACTACTCCATGATAAAGCACTCCACCACTGTTCTACAGCTGAGATGGAGAGCTGTACTTGCAGGTCGGGCTGAACGAGATCAATATTTAAGGGTTAAAAACGCGGCTGTACTTATTCAGAGTGTTTGGAGAGGACATGTTTGCAAATGGGAGTTTGCTAGGCAGAAAGAAAGTATTTTGATCTTGCAGAAGTACACAAGAGGTTTTCTAGCTCGAAGATACACCAAGAGAAAGCGCGCAGCTTTAGATACAATTCAGAAAACTCTCCGAAGTTACCGAGCCATGAAGAGAGAGAGGTCAGAGTTTATTCTGAAGCGTGATTCTATAGTAAACTTGCAGCGAATTGGTCGCGGATTTTTAGCCCGCCAGGAATTCAAGAAAATCCGCGAAGATGCTGAATACAGAGAACAGCTGAAACTTGAATATGAGCGAAAAGAAGAGGAAAGGAGACAAAATTCTGCAACAGTTATAGTACGCATTTTCCGTCGGTTTGTCATCAGAAGACGACTTTTAAAGCGCGTGAGTGCCGTAACGGTAATACAAAAATACTGGCGGGGCTACAGGAGTAGGATGGTTTTGAAGGAGAAATGGGTTGAACTGACTAAACAGTTGGTAGTGATCCGGGAACGATTAGACAAAGCGACCGCTACGGCCGAACCGAAAGACAGACTAGGAGCAAGAACTTCCTCTGCCATAGATTTCCTCTTCTCGATCAGAGATGTAGCTGAGCTGATCTGTGCGGTTAAAACTCTGGATATTGCGACAAGACTCTCCGAGGACTGTTGTAAAAAACTCTCTCAGGGTGAGAACAAACCTCTGGCGCAGCTGATGAACTTGATTAACAGAATGAACAGATCAGTCCCGCATATGGAGGTACGACTAACTTATTAATCTTGACCTCGTTAAAGAGATTAGGAATGCATTTTAAAGCGACCAGAATCCCATATCCGATTCACAATGGTACCCTTTAAAGCATTGTCTGAAATTGGTGATTTTCGATTTCAAATGTTAGATATTAACGCGTTTTAAGAAATAAAAACGACTATATCTTTCTAATTGTCAGTCAAATGTATATGTGAAGGGTACCTTTATGAATCGGACATGTCAATCTTTGAGTAGAGGGTCAATAAATTATGTCAACAGTTCCAAGTTTTTGTCCTAATAACGAAAAGAAAAATTTAATATAACTGAATTGCTAACCATTTTTTTCATCAAATAATATTGGGACAAAAAGATTATAATAAAAAATAACGATCAAAATCGACCTACGATATAAACTTCCTTTATTATCATGCTTGATGTGATTCGTAAATATTAGCTTTAATATATAATTTATTTATCTCTATGAATTTCATGAAAATAATCAGAAATTCTCTCATATACTCCACCATCTTGAGAATAATCAAAGCATAAGCATAACTATTCTAATCTAAACCATTCTTATTGTTAATCATTCGAATATTTCTAGGTTGTAACTATCTCTCTGGACGTCCTCATCAATATTGCCCGGGTTGAATCATGCAAAGATTTCGTGTGTTCCATCCCGAACCTGATCCCGGACTTGTTCCAGATAATGGTTGTGTTCAGGGACTCCGGGGGGAGTATTTTCAGTAAAATATGCGCTCTTCTTCAGATCCTATCCAAGAACTCTCAGGTAAATTTGGGCCGTCAACTTTATTACTCTCTGATTCAAATAAACGTTTTTTTGACAGATTAGCTTTCAGAATTTATGAATTTGTCAATATTGTGGAAAGTGCTACATTTGTATGGTTTCAAATTAGGATTAATAAATCCTATTAACACAATTTGTTTACTTATTATTAATTATTTACTGTTGTATTGCACATTTTATAAAACCCAAACAAACAGGGTTCAACCCTGGTACTCAACGTAACATAGCCTACAGGACATGATACTCTTTAACTGTAGGTTGAATAATGATGATAAACAATAATAATAATGTGTCGTCAAAAAAGATTAATTTTAAGAAACCCATTAAACAAATGACAAAAGATGTATTGTAAAGGAAACCTTGAATAAAATATTTTACCTATTTCAGACTAAAGCTGAACTGATAAAACCTGTGAATATGCGGAAACTACAAGATCATCAAACCAGGATCAGTACTAAGCAGAAACTCAAGGAGCAGAACCAGAAGAGGAGAAGTTTCAACCCTGGAGCAATGCCTCCGCCCATGCAGCAACGACGACCTAGTGCATCTCTAAACATTTCGGTCAACCCTAACCTTACAACCAAGGTTGAAGGGAAAAAGAGAAAAGGAAGTTCAAGCCTTGCTTCAGGTCCCCCTTGGTACCCGGAGATAAGACCAAGGTTCCATGACGATCCCAACACGGCCGTCTCAGCGCTTATTTGCGTGCTGGAGCTAAAATAAATATTTTATGATTTGACCATTTTTTTTTACAAACTCGTGATCATCGTGCCTAACATTTAGAATTAATACCCATTTTATAATTAAGACTATCCATATATATATATGTTTGAAACTGAAGTACCTGTATTGAAATATTATAGTGTAATTAAACCCAAAATAAAACTACTGTTAAAAATTTATAAGATATTGATAAAATATGTCTGGTGGGGACGCCAGGTTCAGGAATTCTCTCCCGGGCCCCGGGTCCTACCAGCAGGGGACGGGACGCCAAGATTACGGTCAACCTAGGTTTCCAGGATCATACTCTGGTCAGACCAGTTATGGATCCACTCAGCGGATGGTTGGAAACCCTCTGAGCAAAAGGAATTATCCAACTCAACCTGGGGCTCAGGAGAATAGTTTAAGAAGTCTCCACCAGAAGAACAGACTGCTACGCGCGCAGATTGGAGTCCCTTCAGTCCAGCTTAATCGTTCGGTAGGACTTCAGCAACCTGGTGGAGCTTATATGGACGGGGATAACGGTTTCCATGCTCCAGGTGGTGTTGCGAATATCAGAGGAGGGTATGGAAACTTAAAGGACGGACTAGTTAAGCAACAACCTTTTAATTCACACCAACAACCGTTTAATTCACAGCAATTTGATCCACAGCTACAGCCGTTCAATCCACAGCAATATAATCCTCCCCAACAGCAGTATAATCCACAGCAACAGCAGTTTACTCCACAACAGCATCAACTGCCGCAACAGCAATATCCGCAGCTCGGAACCGTAGTTAATAATCAGGTGGCTGCGGCATTTTTCCACGTCAACTTAAACGTAAAAAAAGTATTTGTGAATGGTGTTGAAACGAGAAGGTCGATAAAATGAAACATTGCTATTGGCAGTAATTTTACCAATAAAAGGGATGTCCATAAAAAATAATCAATGTTTGAGAAAAAACCAATATTTCATTCACCCATTGTGAATCTGACAATACATGCTACTTTATTAATGGACTTGAAATAATATTACAATCCCTTTGAGCAATAAATAAGTGCAAGTCTTGCCTCAATTTGGTGGATTTTTGATCCATTGATCATTACTGTTACTTCTAAGGTAGTAAAACAAAGTTTCATTAGCAAGTGTATAAAAGATAAAATGTTGAATTAAGGACAGAATTAAGAATTTACTTCGAAAATTAAATATAATGCGCTAGCAATGATTTGGTTCTCCTTTTATCAAGATTCCATGGTTTGAAGGTTAAAAAGTTTTTCAAGGATTATTATTTAAGAAATAAGATTTTCTCAAACTTGAAAAAAAAGCTATAATTTGTGCTACATTTCTCTTAAATTGTTTTGCTTTTTGTGCCGTAAATAACTTTTTGAGTTTCGTATTAGGGATTTTTCATTAATACAGACAAATTGGGTATCATAGTTAATTCAATCTTCCAAAAAATAGATTAAAAAATCTAAGAATCTATTGATTATCACATCCCATATTATCCTGTTCAGTAATAGTTTTATCCAGAGGCGTACACAGGAATTAGTCTATGGGGAGGGGAATAATTTTTTCTTCAAAGGAGGGAGGGGCTAAGCAACCACTGGGGTCTGAAAACCTCCTAGAAACCATAGATTTTACTCAGGGGGTGGATCCCCCCACCCCTGCAAGGGATAGGTACAGAGCAACCATGACCCCCGTTAACTGACATCCGCTGCATTCTGATTCGCAGAATGACCTCCTAGCCAATTGAAATCATCTCATCTCCGTACCTCACGCTACGTCTCCAAGCCTCCACAACTCTGTCTCCAAGAACAAATATTTGGCTTTTACATCCACCAAAAACCTTTCATCGAGCAATCTCGACAATATAAAAAAGTTTTTGATGATACATTAACAATTTGCAGTAAAAATTCTACTTAAATTGGGATTAATTAAGACTTCTATTTTTGTTTTCTAAATTTCACAAATTCCTTGTGCACAGCTATTGCAGCTTTATATAAAGATAGACAAATTTTAAACCACCTTACAGGTGTATCATCTCCGAATGAATCTAGGTATAGGAGCACCAATTTAAAGAACTTAATAGTTTTTTAAATACTTGAATAATATAGAAGAATAAAAGCACGAACTTAAGTATATTACAAAAACTATTATGTTTTGTAAAATGATATAAAATTTGTCTATCTTTGTATAAAGCTGCAATATTTATGCACATTGCACACGTTAAAAAATTTGCGAAATTTAGAATACATTAAATACATTTTTGATCATGTGGAGATTTTTCGAAAAACAAAACTTGGTGAATGTAAAAGCCAAATATTTGTTTTCGGAGATAAGAATGCTGGACGTGGAGACAGAGTTGCAGAGGCTTGGAGACGTAGCGTGAGGAACGGAGATGGTTTTGATTGGCTTGGAGGTCATTCTGTGAATTATGAGGCTCCGGAGGTCAGTTTGTCGGGGCTCATGGTTGCTCTGCATCCCCTCCCTACCATTGCAGTGCACGCCTCTGGCTCTGACATATATATTAATTAAAAATAACTATTTAATTGAATGTTAATTAACATTATCTAATAAAACTACTGGGGAACTTGAGAATATTTTATTTTTATTTTCCTTGCAGCTCCATTTAGTTGGTGAATAAGTATTTCTTTCAAACTGCGTTAATTTCTTATTTTTTCCCTGTTTAATTAGACCATAGTCCCATTAAGAATCTTGTTGAGTGTTAACCTCTCGGACTGTAGAATATAAGGGAATTTTTACTTCCTATGTAAATCTTTAAATGTTAATAAACGATGTGGCTATAAAACAAAATATATTATGGACCACGCATATTTAACAGTTAGGTTCTTATCCCAGTCAGGACTTTCGATCACAATTTGAACAATTAAAGATAAATTTTCCCTTTTTCTCCATAAGCTAAAAAAACTCTGACAAATTGTTGAACTATAAACCAATCGCGATTGAATTCAAATGAAAGAACCCGAACACCCTGGTTAGTCCAGGATGGCATATCAACGAAAGCGTCCTATGATAGATTTCAGTACCGACAACAAAGATTTTTCTGATACTCTCTTTTAATTTGTAACCAGACAACTGTTTTTTCTTTTCATTAAGAAATGTTGCCATGACCGTTGCAAGTTGTAATTGCCAAATCTAAAAAACGTTTAAAGTAGACTGCTAAAAGAAAATTTAAACTTTCCATAACAGAAAAAAGAAATTAAGACTAAAAACTATCTCTAGTTTTCTGGTTACATCTGAAGAGAAAAAAGACTGTGAAGTCGTGACTAAGGTCTAGTTTTCAGTGCAAAGTGGTTTATTGAACCTTCTTGCATTGATCCAGACAGCTATAAAAACTTTGTATTGTATCGATTTTCTACACTGGCTCCACTTATAAGAGTCCATTCGTAGCCCTGTTCTGTAATAGGTTGGAGTAGAACAGGAAAGGAAGACCTTGAACCCGGAGAAGGAGAAAAAGGAGGCGAGTTTGGTCGGAGGAGGAAGGATTAACGAAGAATCGAACAAGAAGTTCTCAAATCTCAGGTTTTTATCGTTTCTCTTTTATAAATATTTAATTAACATATTTCTTGGAGTTCGAACGTAAACGTGCGTTAGAAATTATGTATGCTGGAATTTAAAAGAGTATCGTTGAACGAAGCTTCCGAGTTTTCCTATATCTATATAAAATTGGAGGCGGTGCTCCTTTACACTATACTCTTAGAGGAGGCCAGTCCGCCCTCGCAAAGTTTTACAAAAGATTACTGTTTTTCGTATTATTCAACTTTTTGTAAAGTTTCTAATTTTTTTTTAGTGATTTAAAAATATTTAAAAGTTTTACTAGTTTTAATTTTTGTGAAAAACGACATGAACAAGGAAAGCCAATGTTGAACAGGATCAAATTGTTAATTTTTTTCGTTAATATTTTCTCAACAAACTTTAGGATGGCCATTTTAGGTATTAATGTGAGAGTTACTGTTGAAACCAAAATCAAAAATAAGATCCTATTAAACAAAGTAATAATGTTAAATAAGAAAGGGAAATTTTATGTTATAAGCTGAAGGGTTTTGTTCTGAGATGTTGGATGGGTCAATCTGCTGGACAATCCAGAGAGGATTTCAAGGATGTACATGGAGAGGAAAACTTAAGCCGCCCAAATTTACCAGATTAAGTTGTGCGCCGAAGCATTTTTCGAAGTGTCTTCTTTATAAACAAAAAAAAGATAGATAGATAAAAACCTCATATGATGTGACATCACATTAGGTTTTTATCTAATTATCTTGGGAGACGACATTTCCGTAAATTGGAGCGCATCGAGAGTAACCAACCTTAATAAAGAACCTTGCACGTAATAAACTCTAATTTCAATACTCCATATCTCTTCAACCTTGTCATGTAAACCTTCGCTTTATTCGTAATTGGACTATTTGATCTAACAGAATTCATAGATTGAATGTTTACGACATCTGGTTATAAAGAAATAGGGATTAGAAATTGGAATTTGTGGCGAGTGTTCAGTTCCTTTGCTATAAATATGATTTACGATGGAACAGATCAAGGAATATAAGAGGAACTCCCATCAAATAAAGTGTACTGCAGTTTCTTGGCTATAAATATGATTTGCGATGGAACAGATCAAGGAATATAATAGTAACTCCCATGAAATAAAGTGTACTGCAGTTTCTTGGCTATAAATATGATTTACGATGGAACAGATCAAGGAATATAAGAGGAAATCTCATCAAATAAAGTGTACTGCAGTTTTGGGAGTAATGTAATTTTCTGGAAGTTCGTCTTATATTTTTTGTACAGTTAATAATACTTAAGTACAGTTGTAATTTTCCAAATGATTTAAGTCAACAGGAGAAAGAATAGTTCCAGTGTTTTTTTTTCAGTCAAAACATTAAATATAGGCCAATATTGGCTAAAAATTGTCCATCAAAATCTTTAGCATTTGAGTATGATTAATATATCCACTGCATGCTTAATGCAAGGAAAATTATTTCAGAGGTGTACGCATCTTTGTAACTGTAGTGTACTGTCTCTGGGCGGTAATGTAAACACAAGACGGTTGTCGAAGCCTGAATCCATCTTTCACATAAATAATCAATGAAATATTCTGGTCATAGGAAACTATAATGTGAATAATCAAAATTATCAAAATTTAATGCTTTTTTAACCTCCTCGGATAACTGGTTTCAATATGTAAACAGAGTATACGCAACTGCAATTAACTTTCCTTGCATTATAACCTTGCCTAAATGCGTGTAAATGAATTGAACAGTGAACGCGTTCGACAAAAATTCTAATTTTCTAATCCCTGTTTCGTTTTAATCTAATGTCGTTGATGTAGGGATTAGAAAATTAAAGTTAGCGGGAATTGTTCAGTTCCTTTATCAAAATTTATTCCCATTTAGCAAACTCTGATAAGACCAAGGTTATAATGCAAGGAAAGTTAATTGCAGTTGCGTATACTCTGCGTACATATTGAAACCAGTTCTCTCTGGGCGGAATTTGTAAACAAGAATAGATGTATCGTTTAGTATCCGAGGAGGATAAAAGCATTTAATTTTGATAATTTACATAATAGTTTCCTATGACCAGAATATTTCATTGATTTTTTTATGTGAAAGATGGATCCTATGCAGGCTGTGACATCCGTCTTGTGTTTACATTACCGCCCAGAAACAGTACACTGCGGTACAAAAGATGCTTACACCTTTGAAATAACTTTCCTTGCATTATAACCTTGGCTAAAAGGAACTACATATATTATTCACTCATAGTACTGCAGATCTAGAGATATCTAATCTAAGATCAGAGCAGAAGATAAGCTTTTTGCAATATTGCAATTTTACAAGTTTGCAATTAGCGGCTTATGAATTGGGTTGAAAGGCGTATAATCGTGCATGTTAATATTGAAATTTTACAAGTTTGCAATTGCGGCTTATGAAGTGGGTTGAAAGGCGTATAATCGTGTATGTTAGTATTGCAATTTTCCTTTAATTGATATGTTACAAAGAAATATCATTTCTAAGGTTTACCGTACAATGATGTTATTAATTGCGTTTGTGTCTTATTAATTTAGCTTACTTAAGAATTTAGAAGAAAACAGTTTTCTCGATTTGAAAAATTCACATGATTGGTTTTGTTTTATTATACACTGTTTTGAATATGTGTTCATCTTCAGGATATTGACTGGGCGTGTGAAGCGTGTGAAGGAATGGATAAACTTCCAGCTTTCATTTCCTGTTCTTTTCGTGGTTCATGGCCGACTCCTAGCCGCAGTGCAAAGTATTGGAAGCACCAGGTAGTTCTAGGGATTGGTCACGAAAAATAGTAAATAAAGCATCTTCAGATTCTGAATCGATGGGAACTACATTTATTTCAGTCGTGATCGTTCACGAGTCAGCTAAACTTCTTGTTTTTATAAGTTGGTGTTTTGGAAATTTAAAAGATAAATACTTAATTCAAGAAATTTTAAACCAAATATAACTCTTCAACATTCCCAATTCTAAACATTACCCTCTAAACTTTTATTCAATCCATAATGCTGAAGATATAGTCGGTTTTCTAGCTTGTTAAGTGTTTAATTCAGACAATTTATTTCATTGTTTCTTCATTAAATTCGCAAAACAATTTTCAAAGAGAAAAAAACGGATAACTCATTCATTTTTGAGTAGACTAAGCTTTTAAGGGTACCGTTATGAATCTGACATAAAAGCCGGCCATTTTAAAGTTCTTCTACAGTCAAACAATTTAAGTATATATATTGTTTATTTGAAGGGTTGGAGAGGATAGGAATGTCTCCAGGAAGACCTTTGTACTGGTAGATCTGGAGGATAAAGCGCAGAGGCTGAGATGCGTCTATTATGAGATAGATCGGAGACTGGATCTTCTAGACAGTGGGACAAGAGTTAAGGTAAAGTAGGTTTATTATGAGATAGATCGGAGACTGGATCTTCTAGACAGTGGGACAAGAGTTAAGGTAAAGTAGGTTTATTATGAGATAGATCGGAGACTGGATCTTCTAGACGCTGGGACAATGGTTAAGGTAAAGTAGGTTTATCATGAGATAGATCGGAGACTGGATCTTCTAAACAGTGGGACAAGAGTTAAGGTAAAGTAGGTTTATTATGAGATAGATCGGAGACTGGATCTTCTAGACGCTGGGACAATTGTTAAGGTAAAGTAGGTTTATCATGAGATAGATCGGAGACTGGATCTTCTAGACGCTGGGACAATTGTTAAGGTAAAGTAGGTTTATCATGAGATAGATCGGGACAAGAGTTAAGGTAAAGTAGGTTTATTATGAGATAGATCGGAGACTGGATCTTCTAGACAGTGGGACAAGAGATAAGATAAAGTAGGTTTACTATGAGATAGATAAAAAAATCTGCTTTCAACACAAAATCTCACCTTTTTATTTTTTAAATTGGTTCATTAGATCCATATTTTATAAGGCGGATCCAAGACCTTTTCGCATAAAAATTAAATGAATCCCATGCATTGTATTAAATGATACATAATTTGTATATTTTGATGCTTTAAAAATCGTAATTTAAAAATATTGAATTAGCCATGTAAAGAAAATAAGAACTGCCGGAACTTTAAGATGGTTGCGGCATTGAAGGTAGAATAGTTGTGGCTCATCAATGCTTAACCTCCCCCCCCCCATCTTAGAACCCTGTATCTAGCGAGGACAATATTTCAAACGTTTAAATCAAGTGATCTCCAGGTGACAGGGCGAGGTCAGGAGGATGGAAGTATCCTCGCATTTAGTATGATCGAGGTTAACCCTAGTCTGGAGGACAGATTCCTTCCTAGGTGCGATCTTTATTGAAAATATTGAAGAAAAAAAACATTTTAAGAATTGAAAAATATTGAAAACTACTGTTAAAAATACTGAAATTTATGTTAAAAACATTTATAATACGCGGAAATTACTTTTAAAAGAAGTGCATGCTAAATTTTAAACGAATTTTAAAAATTATCTTTAAAGTTTGCTTTAAATACTGAGAAATAATTAAAGAAACTGAGTACTTGCCACATTCTCTATTTTCGTAATCCTTTGAAGACCTTTGATATTTCAAACTATATAATTTGTGAGATAACATTTCAATTATTTTAAACTTTCTTCAAAGCAGCTAAAAAAACCTTGATTTGTTACTTGATAATGTTAACCATTGATATTTATAGTTAAAAAATGTTTGTCAGTTATCAACCCCAGCTTTAGTATTAACCAAGAGGTTTTTACAACATTTTAATCCTAGGATATAAATGAACTGAAAATCAAATTAAATATGTAATCATGTATCATGTAATCTTTAAACGCAAATAAAATTTTCCGTGACATTAAGAGGCATTTGACAAAAATAAACGTTTAGTTAGAATGGTAAATCTACTACATTAGACCATGGACCGAATTTAATGAATTTGAGTTCGCTGACCTACCTTACTGTCGATTCAAATGCAATTGTCAGTTCTGCAGTATATAGTTATCATTCATAGGACATGGAAAAATGCTGAATAACCAATTCAAGAAACGGGATTTAAGCGTCTCCAGACCTGGCTGAAATTCAATAATTCCGTTTCCTAAACTATTTTTCTACGCAAAATAAAAATATTTATTGTTTTAGACCAGAAGACTTCATTGAGGGACTTATTTATGAAAACTTTCCTAAAAACGTCAACCTTTAAAGTTTAAAATAAAATAAAATCTAAACTTTAGACTTCAAACAAAAAAACATTTCCGTGGTTCTACCAAGTTTCTCGATAAAAATGTTAAACAAATCAGTCCAGGGATTCACGAGTTATGATCGGAAATACTAAACAGACAGTTTCAAATGTATGTTTTTTAAAACAACACTTTCCTAAAAAAAAAGAGTTTCCAATGCAAGTGGGGTTTACTTGCGCGCAATTCGAGACCACTTGCGCGCAATTCCGCACAGTTGCTTGCAACGGAATTCCGATTGGAAACCCTACCAAAACTCAAAGTGATTAAATACTAAAGTGGACCAAACTCATAGTTGGATGACGACATTTTATGTCCCAAGTATTTAAAAAATTAACATGACTCCCATATAATATTTTCATTGATCTTTGGTATCAAACAACTTAACAAAGACATTCACCAACTGTCATGTTTCGTGGGACACCCTGTAGGAAAAGATATTGAGAAAGAGATATTCAGTTTTTTTTTCATGAAGGGCTTACATTTTTTTTATTTTTAGGGGGGGGGGTGCAATTTAGAAGTGCCAGGCAAAATCAATGTATTGATTAAGCGACTGTATAGTATTTACATATGAAACTAGAAATAAAAAATACAAAATTTTCAGATTTTTGATAATAAAAATTTCGAAGTTCTAACTGAAGACGACATTTGCATGGGTCTTTAGTCTATTTTTTCTAGTCTTTACTTTCCAAAAGAAATCTTTTCGTTTAATTATTTCCAAACCAAATAAAACCTTATGGCCCAACCTGTCGTCGTTGCCTAAGTCTGTTCCACTTTAGTATTCATTCACCTTGACCAAAACTAGTCTGGCTGGTAAAATGCAAAAATGTCAACTTTCTTATAAATTCAAAAGTTTTAAGAAATAACAAGTAAATTTCTGATGCAGGATCTTTTATTTTACATCCTGTTCCACCCTTTTCTTAGTTCATCTCTAAGTTCCTAGTCTGACCCAGTGTTGTTAATCAGTTTGGATCGTTTTCAAAAGAACTTCCAAGATTTCAAAACTTTGTTATGTTAAAGTTTACTTTTAATAAACTTTGCAATATCTTTATATCTTCAACAAAAATTTTGATAAACCATCCAAAAAAAAACAGTTACAAGATGTTTGTTTTTGCATCGTTTTAGCATCGTTTTTGCATCGATTTTGCATCGATTTTGCATCGTTTTTGTATTGTTTTAACATCGTTTTTGGGTCGTTTGAAATACTAAAAGAAAAGAAAATGTTTAAATAATAAATTTGCTACTCTTACAATATGCCTTTTGACCTTGTAAGAAAATATAGGCAAAAAATAGACCAACTGAAAGTACATAGCTAGTCTGACACCATGAAAACAGAATTAGAAATATTCTTTATTTTGCGAAATTCGAACACAATTATTAAAAGTTAAAACACATACAATACAATTTTTGGAAAACAATGCAGCCCTATTGTATTAGTTCAGGGAGATCTTTATAAAACTGGCAGCATCATTTGTAAACTGTACAAGATTAATGTACTGTACAGCATTCATATGTACAACTATTCAGGTAAATTCAGTACAATAGTAAAAATAACATATTTACATCTTAACAATTATTATAATCTGTACATTGAATACAAATCGAAGTTCTCCGTCAATGAACAGAAAATTGTTTTAATATCAGTTGTTTTAATTTGATATTACATTAGTTCAGGTAAAAGCTATTGATAAACAATTATACAGTCCTAATTAGAAGAATCTGAAAGACCCGGAATCGGCAATTAATCAGAAGACTTTACAATAGATTTTGATCTTTGAAACAGCATTTATTTAATAAACGATAATCATGAAAAAGCCCTAGGTCTGTAACTTCCAAAATGTTGTTTGCTTTTTTTGTGCGTTCAATATCACAGGAGATATGAATGATTCAAAATTAGAAAATTTTCGTTTTAACAAAAAAAATGAAATCTAACCAAAATTCTTTATATCTCTGGTAATTTTAAACTCACAAAAAAGGCAGAACACATTTTGGAAATGGCATGACCGGGGCTATTTTCTCGTTTCAGTAATCATATTTGTAAGATTAGATTGACAAATGAATGCTGTAAACTATTTCAAAGATCAAAGACAAAGGTAAATTCATCTGTTTAATTGTCAATTAATTCCGGGTCTTGCTGGTTAGGACTGTATCTAAAAAGTAAAAGTTTATAATAAAAAAACGGTAGAAATGGAGTTGCGTAAATATAATGAAAGTTAAATGACCACTTGACAATAGGCATTAGGTATGGCTTGCCCGCGAACAAGTCTCCTGGGTTAAAGCAAAGAAACCTTCACTAAATTCTCATGTTTTTTGGGACTTCGGGACATGTACATAAATAAATTCATACATTAGTTTAATGGCAGTTTTTTATCTTAGTTGGTTTAGTTTAATTTAACTATAAAGAGAATACTGGGTTTACATTATTTAGATCTATAATTGTAGAGAAAAGGTTGAGATCAGAACAGTTTAACGGGTTTAACTCTGATACTCCTGTAGGTTTTATACCCGGAGATTCGTCCCAAACATAGACATTCGTCCCAACAACTTAATATTAGTGTTACTGCACTGCAGTTAAAGGTTTAAGAGTCAAGACTACGTAGAAAAGCATTTTTAACCAGCACATAAAATTTTGCTTAAAATTCTTCATTTTCCTACATCATTTAAACATAGTCTAATACTTGGATTGGGAGTAGATCTAGTTTATATTGGGAGTAGATCAAGGTTTGGTTGGGAGTAGATCTAGTCTAGGTTGGGAGAAGATCTAGTTTGGGTTGGGAGTAGATCAAGGTTAGGTTGGGAGTAGATCTAGTTTAGGTTGGGAGTAGATTTAGTCTAGTTTAGAAGTAGATTTAGTTTGGGTTGGGAGTAGTTCTAGTTTAGGTTGGGAGTGTATTTAGTTTAGGTTGGGAGTAGATATAGTTTAGGTTGGGAGTAGATCTAGTTTAGGTTGGGAGTAGATCTAGTCTAGCTTGGGACTAGATCTAGTCTAGGTTTGGAGTAGATCTAGTCTAGGTTGGGAGTAGATCTAGTCTAGGTTGGGAGTAGATCTAGTCTAGGTTGGGAGTAGATCTAGTCTAGGTTGGGAGTAGATCTAGTTTAGGTTGGGAGTAGATCTAGTCTAGCTTGGGAGTAGATCTAGTTTAGGTTGGGAGTAGATCCAGTCTAGTTTGGAAGTAGATCTAGTTTAGGTTGGGAGTAGATATAGTTTAGGTTGGGAGTAGATCAAGGTTAGTTTGGGAGAAGATTAAGGTTAGGTTGGGAGAAGATCTAGTTTAGGTTGGGAGTAGATCTAGTCTAGGTATGGAGTAGATCTAGTCTAGGTTGGGAGTAGATTTAGTCTAGGTTGGGAGTATATCTAGTTTAGGTTGGGAGTAGATATAGTTTAGGTTGGGAGTAGATCAAGGTTAGTTTGGGAGAAGATCAAGGTTAGGTTGGGAGAAGATCTAGTTTAGGTTGGGAGTAGATCTAATCTAGGTTGGGAGTAGATCTAGTTTAAGACCAATATGATGCTCCGGAACACAGGTTCCACAATATCCTCCACACTTCCCGTAAATCATCTGATTATCCTAAAAGAATTTGCATTTCTTTAATAGAATTTGAAAAAAATGAATACTGTTCGAAACAAAAGTATTTTATGAAATAAATTAATCAAGATTAAATTCATGAAAACGTGACATAGAAAAACTTAATTAAAAGCTTAAAAGATCTCTTTTTAATTCTAGAAGAATTTTAGAATTTCTAGAATTAAAAATCAAAACAAAAGAGAACTGAATGAATAGAAAAACAAATTCATAGTTTAGTAAAGCAAAACCATAACTTCAGTCCAACAGTCGTCCGACTTTTCCATAATTTTATGGGTCTTGCAATATACTTTTAAGTATATCATTTGGTGCGATTGGGAACATTGTGGGTGGGGGGTTGTTGGAGTAATTTAAACCTAATTTTTTTTTTAAATTATATTAATCCGAAATACATTTCTTCCCCTTAAAGAAAAGAATAAAGTTATATTTACATAATCTCAGTTTCAAAGTTTTAAAGTTTAACGTGAACATTTAAATAAAAAACTGATTTTCACCTGAACTCTTTGGAGCCAGATGGAGGGCCTGTTCCCTACTCCAACCCACCCAGTGAACGGGGATACTCGGAGACCAGTTCCACTCAGGTTAATGCTGAACTTACCCTGGTGAAAATGGTTTTAATCAAAGAGAATAGAATATATATTAGAGTGGAATTTACTAGAAAAAAGTGTAAAGCGGCCATTTTGTTGTACTGTTTCCATACTGCAGATGTACTTCACATATTTGCGCTAAATAACCTTTTGGGCCCTGGAACATCATTTTATAGAAAATCTAAAATTAATATCAAAAGAAAACGAAATTATGAAATAGGCTGGTTTCATTATTGACCAATGATAATTTCACATAGATTCTATGCCTCTCACTTTATAAACGATGATTTTCCGTTTTAACTATAAATCAAATGATGTTTTTTATTCGCCTAATTCAAATTATAAAGTTTATTAAGCTTTTAAAAATTCGAAATTGAAATGGATAGTCTAGGGAACATACTGTATTAATGTACTCTACTTTATATAATTTGTGAACATTTACATGATTTGTACACTTTGAGCTCCCTTTCAGGCTGAATGGGACTGACAAAATTGATACCGAGGGATTGTCTAAAGTCCACTCTATTATATATTCTATTCTCTTTGGTTAAATACTTCACATTGGAAAACATAGTAGTACAGGGGAACCCTAAATATATTATTAGGGTAAGGAAAGGCATCGTGTGGTACTGTTTTAAACATTCAAGGCTTTTCGACTTTAGAGGTTCTCTAAAAGAATTTGACTCTGCTTGCTTTTTGAATATTTTTTTAGGAACCATTTGAGTCGTTTTTACGGTGCATATTTGTTCAGCTAGAACGCAAATTCAATCTTAAAAATCCTTAAATATTGTTCATTTTTCGGGGTTGATTTTGATAATCGATTTTTCAAAAGTTATTCAATAACGACGACGAAATTAATGTAGTAAAAATTCTACAGTAAACTAATTAGTTGTTTAGGAACAGGTTGAGAAAATAAAAATTAACTGTTATCATCGAAAACAAGTAATCTTATTCAGTCTTGGTTTCTGTGATGTCTCCTTGTTCACAAACATACTGTAGATTTCCTGCAATTTTTATTGAAAAGACGACATTTGAAGAATTTGAAGAAATCTGCGAACAAATTCATGAATAATTCAATATAATGATGAAAAATAAATAATTAATTTATTGTCGTCGTTATTTAATAATTTTAAACCAATTCTTAAAACGTAACCAACCAAATGGATGATTTTGAACGTCGACCTTGCGCTCAAACTCAGAAATTATACACCATAAAAACATAAAAACATAAAAACATGTCTCAAATGAATCTTTAAAAATTTCTCCACAATACTGCAGTCTCAGTTCAACTCCCTTTAAATTTAAGAGTCTCAAAAAAATAAACAAAAATATTTGTTTGGAAGATAGTCTTTGTCCTTTGACACACTATTGCTCTTCTACATTTTTGGTTTGGTAATAGAATGGGTTCAATCCTCTTGACTGCTTCTCGACCTTCAATTTATGGGCGCTTCATATCAAATTAGATTTATAGAGAACTCGTGTTCATCAAATAGATTGTTAAGTAAAATAGATGGCAACGCAGTATTTGTACACTCTCAGTACAGCTGTATTCTTACATCATAAGTGTCAACTTATTTTTTGTGTCCGACAAAATTATTAATAATAGTGATAATTTTAGATTAATTAGAGCTTATCTTACTGTGAAAAAGGTGCAATTTAATGTCTTATTTGGTTTCTGTTTTCACACTTTTTTATTTAATCTTGAAAAACATGTCAACTAATGTGAGAAAATTTCGTTTCCTTTGTTATATTTGACACTTGTGACGTCGTGTATAATTGGTTAATTTCTCTGTTGCCACCTATTGTACTTGATAATCTATTTGGTGTTCATTGAATGTAAAATTAGATTGGCCGCAAATATTATCAAAGGTCAAAGACGACCTATACGATCCCGCCTCCAATCTTTACCTGTGGACAGTTTGTCGCACTGTAACAATCTCCAGCTTCTCCCTCCCCCCCCAGTAAATACCTGCGGACAATTTGCTGCACTGTAACAATCTCCGGCTTCTCCATATGGAACATGTTCCCCTTGAACTTGCCGAGAGAATGTGAAATCATGAGCTAAAAAGAATTTGAAAAAATGTTATTTTTTTGAAAGTTTTTTAGATGAACGCAACATTTCTTATATAATTTCCTGCCATTTTCTCTTTTTAAATTTGAAGAAAGTCTTTCATACTTAATTGATCCTCTCTCTCAAAATAACTGTATATATACACATATTACTTCTCATGGGTTCTACAAATCATTTAAGGGTACAGAAAACTGACCATCTCGGCCTAACAGGAATTTTGTAGGCTTTAAGAGAAGTAAAGGGGTTTATCCCCCTGACTGGGAAACAAGAGTAGAGGGACTACAGAAAGATTATTTACGGATTATGGACGGACGAAAGATAGTCACAAAATACTTGCAGGAACTACTCACTTCAGACAACACAAACCATCATTAAAGGGTCTATAAGTGGACAAAAAGGGCTAGTGGATGAATGAAAAAAAAAACAGAGTGAATATGAATAAGCCAGAGGGACTAGCTGACGCTAAGAAACACATAAAAAGATATAAGAATAAAATGGGGAAAATAAGACACTAGAAGAACGGAATTTTTTTGCGCTTCGTGGACACATTCAAAGAATTAACTCATATCGTTCATTTTACAGCTGTTGGAAATATAAATTTTAAAAGAAACCCAAGAACAAGTCATAGAGTATTAAAAAATCAATTTGCATTGTACACTGAGAAAATCTGCTTTCAACGACTGAAAAAATTCCGTTTTTTCGAAATTAACCCCTTAAATAAGCATCTTGAATAATCCCCCCCCCCTGACAAAAGTTCTAGTTGCGCCCCTGGGTCGGAAAACACTTAGATCCTATTTCCTATGATATGATGAAAATTTAACAGGTATCCTATAGGGTTACCCTGAAAGGAGGAGACATGAAAGATGACTGTACAGAATTTATCACCCTTTTTCCTACTTTTTCGGTTCTATCCTCCTAGTAACTTTTTAACATCTTTGTTAAATCATCTTGTAAATAGGTTTAAGACTGTATTTTAGAGAAAAGTCCAAAATTATTCTTTAGATGCAGTGGTAGACCATTATATCAATACAATGAAGACGACTATCGATTCAAATTCAGGTTTTTAACAGCATGGGTAAGTCTAGAGAAGGTGTCGATTTAAAAAGCTTCTCTTGACTACTTGTGTAAACTGTAATTCGAAAAAAAGCTTGTTAACAATTAAAACTTAAATAAAACAGTCATCTTCATTGTATTGATATAATCGCCTACCACTGTAGTTGACTTTGAAGAGTTTTAAATCGCGATTAAAATCTCATCCCTTGTGGGCAACTACAGGGCCCTATAGTTTAAACTTACAGTTAATAGAGAGCGAGGTGACGTTTATACTGATTTTACTCCACATTGTCAATCCTTCACGAGATTCATCCTTTACGCAGTCACAATCACTGAAAAAAAAAAAAATATTGTATCAAACATTTATTCATTTTTACAATTCTCATACACCTAGTCCCACGAAACCTGTCAGTTGGTGAATAGTTTTGAATGTCTTCTTCCATTTACTGTATTAGATGTTAAAGACTTTTTGCAGTTTATTTAGTTTTTAAAATCTGTTATCCAAATATATTTGATTTTGAAATCCATTTTACTATAATATGGTTGCTACGAAATATTTTTTTATTATTTTCCTTGGTATCAAACAAACTATGGAAGATAGCTAGAAGACATTTTAAACTATTCACCAACTGTCATGTTTCGTGGGACACCCTGTATAGCAGAACCTAGCCTAAATTGCCATTTTTTAACTGAATCAACATTTTGTAAAAGATAGAGTTTAACTATTAATATTTTTTAAATTTTATCAAAACAAATAAAATTTTCCAAACCAAACCATTATTTTTAATGGTAAAAGTAATATTGTCAATACTGTCATATTTCAAGTAAGCTAATTTCAGATTCACAAATCCCAACGGTATATTCATCATTGTTGTCCAGAGAAATGTTTAAAGGGTATCATAAAGGGTATCATTGTGAATCAGGCAACTTTGTAACTTAAAGTCAAATTTACAATCTTTAACCCTAAACAGGCTGAGGGGGCGTTTGGCGCCCCTCCCCCTGTAGTTTTGTTGTCCTAGCACTCTCAATTTTGACACGGTCACTGTAAATTTTTGTGAATTTTAATGAATAAAAATTTAAGGGATTTAAAAAGAAAAATTTAATGTCCAGGGTTTAGGGCAGTAAAAAGTGTTAAAAAATTAAAATAGCCAATAACTTTTTTGTGACTAAAGCTACAGATCCAAAAACAATATTTTTTTAAAACCCTTGAAAAATGTCTGTCGAAACATGCGTTGAACTTTGTTTTAAACATAACACAATATTTTTTTGGCATTTTTTCATCCCTACCCTAGCACTCAAACTATTAAAGTTATCGGTCTAATTTTTTTCAATGAGCTGGCCTTGAAAAAATGGACTATGAACATGCATTTCAACCTCATACCTATCTTTAAGGCATTTTTTTCTAGGGGCGTGGGCGTGGGACGCCCCCCCCAGGCTAAACAAAGATTCAGACCCCCCGGCCATCGTAGGGTTAAGACTTAGAATAAATCCTACTTGAATCTAGATCCATTATTTGGACAGGAGTTTGGAATGATTAATCTCCGACCATAAACCTCAGAGTAGTTCTCCTTCTCTCCTGAAGGCAGGCTGAGGTATTCCTTCGGCATAGAGGTTGACATCTTGTGGCAGTAAATGGAAATATTTTTGCCACCCAGAAGGATCAAATACTCTCCATCTACTGTCGTCTAAGAACATTTTAAAGTTTTTAATCAATTGCAAAGGAATTGAGTTTTTGCCACAAACTCAAATCTTCTGATCCCAATATCTTTGCAACCTGATAGTGCAAACCTTTGATATTTCAAACTTAGATTATTTTATCTTTAAGTATTAATAGTTTGAAATATCTAAGGTCTACGACATTAGGTTACAAAGATATAGAGATTAGAAAATCAGAATTTGTGGCAAAAATTTAGCTCCTTTAAAAAGTTTTATAATTACTAATAGAGTCTTTACAGAGTTTACTTGCATATTTGAATGAGAATTAAAAAATTCAAATATAAAGATATTTATCATGTAATGACTCCTTGCCATTCAAAAGTGTTTTAAAAGTTCGTTGGGTATATTACTATGGGCATGAACATTGAACCTCCTTTTTGTTAAGAATTAGTTTGTTTTATTTGAGAATTATTACCATTAGTTTCTGTTTGACATCAAGACAACTCTGATATCCACCTAATTCAAATTATTGTAATATATTAGTACAATTATTATCAATACTAAGTTCACGTTTGTTTAAAATATGCCAAATTTCAACTCTGAGAGAAAATTTGTTATGTTTTCCTTCATTTTCTTTAAAAGCAAACTTTAACACAATATACAGTTTTCAAATTTTGGAAGTTTTATTTTTTAAAATTAAAAACCAACCATAAACAACGAACAATCTTATAGGTATGATTTAACGATATTTATTAAAATTCTGACTAGAGAGTATTTTTGTCGTGAAAACTTTATCATGGAATAATTATCAATTGTTAGTCTCCCAACCCAGGACAAGTTAAACATATTTGGAAAACTAAAAATCTATCAAAAAAGTAAAAATAACTGTGTGTAGAGAAACAAATGATTATAGCAATTGTAATATTAGCTCGATAATGCTAAATCAGTAATAGAATATGAACAATTGCAATCTTAGAGAAAAAGCAGCATAATGTTATCAATTAAAGAAATAAATATGAAAAATTGCTTACATTGGTTTTTGGGACATCTTTGTGTCTTCTTAGGCTTAAACTGGAGAGACAAATTTTTCCTAAAAATAGATTTTTATTTATTCAATTTTTTTAACTTAAGATTTAAACAATTGTGACCATGTACAAATTTTTATTGGGATTGTAAGCGTAAGTGATCAAAAATGTGGAAGATATTGTCGTTTTTCTGGATTTAAAAGTATTTGGTTCTGATAATTCATATACGTCTTTTTGTAGTAGAAATGCGCAAGTCACTTTTGTAGAGAAACCTCAACACAACTGAAAATTACCAGTTTTCAACATTTTATACATTGATATCAACTTAATACTTGATCAGACAAAGGTTTTAAAAGTACTAACGTAAATCAGGCATTGCCATCTTTGCCTGGAGAATAACTTAAAATTAGGCTTACAGTCCCTTTTAGTTTATCCAACTTACTTGCACATCTTATTTCTTATTCTTTCTCCTTCATTTGTTTGGCAGAAAACCTTCCTTCTCTTCTTCCCGGACTTTCCACACTTGCTCCAGGTACACTATAGAGTACATGGTTTTTTTCAGGACTAGGTTTACTCCAGGTACACTATAGAGTACATGGTTTTTTTAGGACTAGGTTTACTCCAAGTACACTATAGAGGACATGGTTTTTTTAGGACTAGGTTTACTCCAGTTACCCTATAGAGTACATGTTTTTTCAGGACTAGGTTTACTCCAGGTACACTAGAGAACACATGGTATTTTTCAGGACTAGTTTTACTACAAGAACACTTGAGTACATATGTTTTTATTCAGGACTAGGTTTACTCAAGGTACACTAGAGAACATGTTTTTTTTTCAGGACTAGTTATACTTCAGGTTTCAGGTACACTAGAGTTCAGATCTTATTATGACTAATCTTCAGGTACACTAGAGAATATGTTTTCTTCAGGACAAGGTTTACTGCAGATACACTAGAGTACATGGTTTTTATTCTGGACTAGTTTTACTTTAAGTACACTAAAGTACATGTATTTTTAGGTCAAGGTTTACTCCAGGTATGCTAAAGTACAGATCTGAGTTAAAGAATTAGTTTTTTTATCGATGAAAATTTTTGTTTAAAAACGATAACTTTGTGGTCTCCAATGAGAACCTGGGAGTCTCCAATGAAAATTCAAAACGAAAAATTTGAAAAAGGGGAAAAGATGAAGAGGGTCTCCAATGAAAGTTTGGGGTCTCTGTTGAAAAGTATAGGGTATCCGATGAAAAGTGAAGGGTCCCCAATGAAAATCTGGGGTCTCGGGTAAAAAAATGATCATTGGGATCTCCAATAGCACTCAAATGATATTGATTTTTTACCAGACTCCAAATGTGTCCAGAAATATCTTAGTTTCGTGTTGACACTTAGACATTAGAAAATTTAATGTGTTCTACTTAAATTACAATTACTTTATTTTTCATTATTACTTTGAGATTTTTCATGTCATTGTGTTAATTGGATTTGCAGACAGATATAGAAGGATACATAACTAGTCCTAAGACTTCAATCTATTTGTCTAAAAAATATCTTCTCACTATCTAAGATTAAAATAATATTTGCATTCTCTTCAAGATGATGTTTTACCTCGCCCCAATCTCCAGTCTCCCAGCGTATCATAGACGAGCAGGGAACCACCATACATGACCTCAGATCGTCCGGACGAGAGGAGGAGTTGCACCCGTGTGGGGTCTCGTCCGGGTCAACCCAGGAAAACGTGTTGACCCTATGACATGAGACCCGGCGAGTTTGCACTCCTCTCCCGCATGTATGACTGCACTGGATATATTTAAATATTTTAACTAACTAGATGCATGCAAAGTGTGTTAAACTATTAAAAATTATAAAAATATAAGACTCCCTCTCCCTCAAAAAAATTATATTTCAAACTTTGATTGAAATATCTCATGGTCTATAACATTGGGTTGAAAAAATATAGGGTTTATAGAATCAGCTAGTTTGTTGCAAAGGCTCAATTCCTTTGGTGAAATAACTTTGGTGACACATTATTACACATTTTTATAAAACAATGTGAGTCGTGCTATAATAGAATATGGGACTTTATTTATCTCAGGAGCAGGAGGAGAATATGGGACTTTATTTATCCCAAAAACAGCAAGGGAATATTGGACTTTATTTATACAGAAGAAGCAAAAGAAGCTGTAAAGCAATAAAATATTGGTTTAGGACTATCAGGATTGAAGACGACAAACGTTATTGAAAAGTACCAGAATGGAAGACGACTAAAGTGTAAGAGAACAACCAGGAAGGAAGAAGACCAAGAATTCAACAGTATAGAACATAGAATATATACTAGAATTGTCTAGAAGACCTATTAAGATATCTGAGAAGTACCAAGATAGAAGACGACCTAAAGTGCTTGATATTTTTCTAGTGGAAGCCGACTTTAAGTAGTTGAAAAGTGGTAGGTTGGAATACGACTAACCTGTGACCAGTCTCCAGCTATCCACTTGAAAGGGCAGGGAATCTTGTTGCAGGCCTTCTTGTACTTTGGTTTAGGTCTAGACAGACAATGTTTATCCGTGACCTCAGTTTGGCTGCTCAGGTCAAAACATACAACTTCTCTTCTTCTCTCACCTCTCTCACACGTCTTGGAGCACTTCAAAACATTTGTTAATACAATAACAAACTTATTTCATTAATTTAACAAGTTTTTTATCTTTTTTTAAAAACAATTTTTGGTTTTAGTTTTTACCTGAGACCATTTCCCAACTTTCCATGCATGAGATCTTCTCTGTTTCCAGGTACAGGACTGAAGCTGGCAGCTCCGCCGGTCATTTGGCCGATTCTCCAGTTCGCACTAGTTTAAGAAGAATATTAAGGTTTAAAAGAAGAATGTTCATGTAATTTTTACCTGAAGATCAGGAAGGTTCTGAATCTAACTGATGATCAGGAAGGTTCTGAATCTAACTGATGATCAGGAAGGTTCTGTATTTAACCTGATGATCAGGGATGTTCTGTATCTAACCTGATGATAAAGAAGGTTCTGTACCTGACCTGATGATCAGGGAGGTTCTATATCTAACCTGATGATAAGGAAGGTTCTGTATCTGACCTGATGATCAGGAGGGTTATGTATCTAACCTGATGATCAAGAAGGTTCTGTATCTAACCTGATGATAAAGACGGTTCTGTATCTAACCTGATGATCAGCAAGGTTCTGTATTTAACCTGATGATCAGGAATGTTCTGTATCTAACCTGATGATAAAGAAGGTTCTGTACCTGACCTGATGATCAGGGAGGTTCTATATCTAACCTGATGATAAGGAAGGTTCTGTATCTGACCTGATGATCAGGAGGGTTATGTTTCNCAGGAAGGTTCTGACCCAAATGATCTTGACATCTAACAAGACGGAGACTAACTCCTCCTCCGCACTTGACGGAACACTGAACGCAACAATATCAATTGATTTTGATTTTTATTTTCAAAATATATAAAATTAATTTTGGATAATTAACTAATTCTACGCCAAACCTTAATTACGAAAATATATTGAAAAAGAAATTGTAAGATATTTCTAAAATGATTTTCTTGTTGTTTGGGGTTTAAAAAAGTGTTAAAGGGATTATAAGCGTAATTTCAAGTGACCCTCCGCATACAAAGATGACAATGCCAGATTTACAACGGTTCCCTTTAAAGCTTTGTTTGATCAAGTATGAATTAGATATCAATGTTTATTATTTTAAAAACTGATTATTTTCAATTGTGGGTTCTCTACTAAAGTGACTTGCGCATTTCCACTGCAGGAAAACATATAAAATTATCAGAACTAAACACTTAGAAGCCCAGAAAATGACGACATCTTTCACATTATTGATCAGATAAAGGTTCCAAGGGTACTGTTATAAATCGGGCATTGCCATCTTTGCATGAAGGTTCACGTCCCGTTAATTACCCTGATGAATATTGTTCACCTGACTCCAGTCTCCAAAGTTCCACTGAGGACAAGGTTCAGAATTACATTCTTCTCTTTCTTGTGGTTTCCTCTCCTGGTTGCATTGATCTACAGAAACCTTAACAAGATAGAACCTTAAACCATGTATTTAAAGTGACATGAAGATTGGATAATGTAAGATGAAAACAATATTTTGTAAAGATATTATATCAATATTCACCTCTATATTGTTAAACTGAATACAGCTGACGTCTCTTTGTCGTATTCCTCTACCACATGACGCAGAACACTTTAAATTAATGAAAACAATAAAAACATATTATTAAATGAAGCGTTTGTAAAAAAAATGATTAATTCAAATCAAATTAGGTATTGATCGACAATTTTCGTCTCACAGATCAATCAAATTTGACTGGGATGCATTCCTCTTTTTATTTACTATACTTCAAAAGAATATAATAGTATAAAAAAGTTTTTTTCTTGGAAAAAAATTCTTGTTTGTTTTAAACGGCGAATTTTAAGCTTTTCAGAATTTAGATTTTATTTTCATTGTGCTCTGCTTTCACAGTTTTGTTTTGAAAAGTTTTGACTGCAATTTGAATTTCAAATATATTCCAATTCCCCCTTACCAGTTGCCAGTCTCCAGTTCTCCAGTGGAAACTTCCAGGTTTATCCATCCTCTCCTCCTCGGTTCGGTTTATCTTCTCTTCTCCGGGTCCAACCATTGTCGCGGATTTAACGATATCCAACGAGAGAGCAATCTAAAAAATAAAAATGGAAAGGTAAAAAAAAGAATTGATGGATTTTGTAACCGAAGTGGGAAAATGAGCGATCAAAGTTAAAAAATAATTCCGATTTGATGTTTCTGTAAAGGGGAATAATTACATCATCCAAAAATATGAAGCTGAAAATCCACTTTTTCTCTGGAGAAACTGCACACTGGTCACTCATTGGTATTATACAATCTCTTTTCTTATTCATAAGATAGATATCAACGTAGAACCATCTTTTTTAACATTCTGAATTTTTATTAGCTTAAATATAGACGGATGGGCTTTTCAGCTTCGCTCATTGTTGACAAAACAGAATAGTACATATTTGTTGTTCGTTTCTAGCTATTTTGCAGACAAACTAATTTTAAGATGTATCCCGTCAATTGCCCCCTCTCCGAGTTTCCATCTACTTCTGCTTTTTCTTAAGATCTGTTTTCATGTTTCCACCCCCCTCTCTCTTTCCCTCAACATAGAACCATCTATTTACATTCATAATTTGCCGTGAACACTCCCTTTCAAGTGCTCTCTCTACCTGAGGAACAGAATGATGACAAGGGCTGAGATCGCAGATCTCCTCCATCCCTGGTTTTCTCTCCAGACAGATAGTTTCTCCTTGTAGCACTCCGTCCTCACGGCTCACACAGCTAACCTTCCTCCGCCTTATTCCCTGAGCAAATATAAACCAAAATAAAAATAATTTGTCGAGAGGGGTCGCTCCATCTTGATTTTACCCAGTGCAGGAAATGGTGGTGGGGGGGGGCTGTTGTATTTTATACAAGCTGAAGTGCCCGGCGCAGGCCAGTAACTGCCGCTGTACAAACATAGATTACAACTTATAATATGTATTATTTAAAGATAAGTTTCAAAGTTCATTTAATTCCCAAGACTCAATCGTCGCCTTCTACTTCTACAACGAAACATAATTTACGCACTCGCAAAAAATGTATTCATGATCACATTCTCACATATGGGACATAATTGATCAACATTTTTAAATACAAAACATGCCCCGATTTGAGTTGTTGCCACAAACTCTAATTTTCTAATCCCTGTAAATTTGCAACCCAATGTAACATACTTTAGATATTTCAAACTATTAATCATCCTAAGACAAATAATTTAAGTTTACAAGTTAAGAAATATCAAAGGTTTACAAGCTCAGGTTGCTAAGATATAGGGATTAGAAAACTTGAGTTTGTAGCAGAGACTCAATTCCTTTTTAAAAGATTTTAATTTCAATTAATATGACCGAATTTCACCTTCAGATGTTCAAATCTTGAAAGCGTGTGCTTTATATGAGGTACTTTTATTTCAACCTTCGATCAAGATTTTGAAAATTCTCTATCTGTGCTGGATTGAATAAAAATTCCAATCATGGCTCGTCCCGTGTATCATAATAAAAATTGAATAACTTTCCCTTTAAAGGGACAGTTAGCGTAACTTCAAGTGACTCTCCTTGCAATGTCCGATTTACAACGATATCCTTGAAGCCTTAATCTGATCAAAATATGTAAGATATCGTCGTTATATTACTCTTATGCAGTCCCTACCTTTCCGCAGGTGACAGAGCAGCCGGACCAAGCTCCGGTCAGCCAGTCTCCTGTCGGACACTTCTTATGATTACAAGGTTGTTTATCAATTGGTCTACGTCGGAACCTACTGCACTTCTCCTCGTTCTAAACAGTCAGTGCTGTAACATTAATTCATTTCTTTCTATTGGAAAAAAGTTTTTTATGAAATTCTTTATCATAATATAAACATGAATATAAATATTAAATCTTAGCATTACAAAATGTTTGTTTTGTAAATTTGAAATTAAGTGAAGTTTAGGAATTTTGGGATATTGTAATTTATTAACTGCATTTTTTTGTAAACATGCCTGTATTCATTGTATCTGAATGCTTGGCAAAAATGCATATGAGAGTCCTTTATGAATATTTTTAAAGCTTAATTCTTAAAATTAAAGTTTGAATGAACGCAATAATTTGAAAATTTAATTTCGTATTTTGCAGTGCTTATGATCCATTTCATTTAGATCCGGAGCCGGATCAAGGTCATAAATGTTACCTTAAGATTTACTATTCTTTCGAACAAAAGAAGAATTTAAAATAATTTTTCTTCTTTTATTCGCTAATATTTTTGCAACATTTTATGAGTCAGAGACTCCGAGTTAAAGAAGTTTCAATAATCTTTCTTTTTTTAACAGTTTAAATTTGAGTTTTGAGAGTAAAAAGGTTTTTTAAAGTTTTTGGTTAATATTTCCCCCTTGACCTGGATACATTGCTAGTAGTTTAAGGTCTGATGTTTATATATTTATCTCCGTACCTTCTCCTGTACTCCATTGATCCTGTCGTAACAGGCAACAGGACGGGTTTGCTCTCCTCCTCCGCAGGGTTCGGAGCATTCTCTCCACTGCCCAAACTTCCATCTTTAACAAGAACAATTATTAATTGATTAACACAAGTACCCGGCGTTGGCTGTGCACTTTAGTCTTATTTTTTTACTTTAGGAATGACGTCGTAATGTTTATGTACCATACATAGATATAAGTCAGATTTTATTTTATTTCGCTTCGGATTATCTTTATCTTTAACTTTCAGAACTGCGCTTAAACAACGAAAACCCAAATGCTAGTTTAAACGGTTAATATCTGTTGTTTGAATCATGGCCGTAACTAGGGGGGTGTAAGAGAGCTTTGCCCCCCCTTGTTTACTCTGTGTGCCCCCCCCCCTGGTTTGAATTGAATATATAAATAACCCTGCCAAATCTTGTACTTTTAGATTTAAAGATAAGAACTTTTTTGGGGTTATATTTTCTTATATAATCGAAGATTAATGATTAGAATCATTTAAAGTTTGAAAGTGAAATATTACATGATGCAGAAAAATGCACTTTTCATGTTATATATATATATATAAATGCATTTTACACGTACACATGCAGAGTACAGTTTTCAACTTATTTGATGGAACGTAATTGAGTTTTTGCCACAAACTCTGTTTTATTTGTTCCTATATCTTTACAAACTAATGTCATAGAACTTAGATATTTCAAACTATAAATTCTGTAAAACCGAATAATTAAGTTTGAAATATCAAAGGTTTAAATATTTCAAACTAAAAATTCTGTAAAATCGAATAATATAAGTTTGAAATATCAAAGGTTTACACGATCAGGTTGCAAAACTATTTGAGTTTGTGACAAAGACTCAATTCTTTAAGAAATCCTAAAATGTTAAAATGTTTAAACATTGTCTGATTGAATTGTAACAATATATTTATTATAAAATGAAGAATGAAGGTGAAGTTATATCAAAATATTTTCCCACATTCATCCTATTTTTGTCGGCCAATAAATAAAAAGTTTTTACGAGAATGTTTTTACAGGTTTACGATGGCAGATTCTCTTCAATTAGAATATTGGGAGATAAAGGAATTGAGTTTTTGCAACAAACTCAATATTTCTCATTCATTTATCATTGGAACCTGATGTTACAAACCTTTGATATTTCAAACATAGATTAGTTGATCCATCAAAACTAATAGTTTGAAATATCTAAGGTCTACGACATTTGGTCGCAAAGAATAGGAATTAGAAAATCCGAGTTTGTTGCAAAGACTCAAATCCTTTCAGAATTTTATAATCAAGACTTTTTCAAAATGCCTAGCCCCAACCCCCCCCCCCCCCCCTCCATGAATGATGTAATTAAACCATATTAGATTATCTGCAAGATTACTCGCCAAAATAAATACAGAAAACAAAAGAAACCCTTATAACCATAGAGAATAGAATATATAGAGAGGAATTTACTAGAAAAAAGTGTAAAACGGCCATTTTGTTGTACTGTTTCCATACTGCAGGTGTACTTAACATATTTATGCTTTATAACCTGTTGGGCCCTGGAATATCATTTTATAGAAAATCTAAAATTATTGTTAAAAGAAAACCAAATTATGAAATAGGCTGGTTTTATAATTGACCAATGATCACTTCACATAGACTCTATGCCTTCCACTTTACAAACGATGATTTTCCGTTATAACCGTAAATCAAATGATGTTTTTTATTCACCTAATTCATTATAAAGTTTATTTAACAGTTTAAAAAATTCGAAATTGAAAGGAATAGTCTAGGGAACATACTGTATTAATGTACTCTACTGCATATAATTTGTGAACATTTACATGATTTGTACACTTTGAACTCCCTTTCAGGCTGAAAGGGACTGAAAAAATTCATACCGAGAGATTCTTTTAATTCCTCTCTATATATTCTATTCTCTTTGCTTATAACTGTATGCGAATGATTAGTAGCATTTTAAGATTGATTCAATCTCTTAAAACTTTCTCTTGTGCCGTTCTAATCCCAATTCAGAGCAATGGTAGATCTAACATGATGTGGGACACCCTGTAGTTGGATAACTAACCCTTTGATCATACGAGAATTAGTCTATGGAATGGGTGCCCTTGGGAAAAACCTATAGTTATAAACCTCGTGGTCCACAATGCTACCTGAAGGGCAGTTTCCTGTTCCGGTTAAAAGAGAGTTTGTTTTGAGGAGACGACTCTGGAGACGGTAAAACAGATTTTCTCCTAAAATATTTTAGTGAATCAATTTTTCTTTAGTAATAAAATAATTTGCATTTACGTAATGCGTAATTTAATGAAACATTTCGTAAAAGTTAAGAAACTAATTATTACTCACGTACCTCAAACTCTAATTTTCCAATCTGATGCAACCTTTGATTTTAGAATTCTAGCAGAATTTAAAATCTTGACATTACAGGAGAGTTTTATCAGAGTATTAAGTTTCTTTTGCTTTTAAAGATTTATCTATATCAATACCTAGTCTGTTCGATATCATTTGTAAATTCTTCAGAAATGTCTTCTAAGCTAATATCCTGGGAGATTTGAACTCTAGTCTCCTGACAGGAAATATCCTCACACGTGGATAGGTTGGCCGGCTTCTCCTGGTCGTTACAGAGCTCAGGATCTAACTCATGCTTATTCTCTACAGACAGGCATCTAACCGTTCTTCGCCGAGTTCCTGGTAACATTATTTGTAAACAAAAATTCAAGCCCCCCCCCCCATCAAACCATGCCAGATTCACAATGGTATCATTTACATCCTTGTAAAAGCAACAATGAGTAAAGATCTGGTTGTTTTTATCTTAAAAATTGTTGTATTCTAATATTTCCTTCGCTGTTTCTGCTGCATGAATGGCCCCAAAAAAATACAATTAAAACTGAAAAATTTTATTTAGTTGCTCAGACGAAGTTTTACCAAAAACACCTGAGGAATACAAATTTCTTACTTAAAAATTAGAAAAATTTTTTTTGGAAATTTTTTTTTGGTAAAAGAAATTAGTTAAACTTTGAGAAGTAGTCATTCAGATTCATTTTATCCAGGACGGATCCAGGATCCAGCTGGATCCGGATCTGCAATCAAATAGGATGGTATCTTGTACCTTGTCCACAGTTAGCTGAGCATGCCGTCCATTCTCCCATAGACCAGGCAGCACAAGGACGGACATCACAGGGTTCTCTATGCCTGGGTGTAGTGGACTGATCACAGAGTTCACGGTGCTGAATAGCGTGGTTGAGCTGACACCAGTAGGGTCGCTGTCTCACCCCTCGCCCGCAGGTTACATTGCATACACTCCAGTCTCCGGTCTCCCAACTGGAGATTAGAAAAATTAGATATTAAATCCAGATATTTTTAATGTTGGACGTTATTCCTCTAATTCCCTCCCAGTCCCTTCAACCCTTGAGCCTCTTAGATAAGTATCTAGATGTATATCGATTTTGTGAACGAACGAAATTTTTAAGAACGCTCGAAATTTTTCGTGAACGATGGACGTACAATTCTTACATCATTCAGAGAAATGATAAACGATCGTTTTTTTTAAAAACGAAAGAAAAAAAGAAAAAACGAACGAACTTGAAAAACTTTTTTTACTGAACAAAAGAATTCTCCAAAAGATTTTGACAAATAGATGAACGAGCAAACTGAAAAAAAACGAACGCGCCCGTCTCAACTGGTGGCCAAGCCTATTGAAGCTTTAATAAAGCCACACAATTAGCTCTTTATAACTTGATTGGACCTGCTAAGATATGGTATAATAAATGTATGATGTATTTATTAAATAATTTTTGTAACGTAAACAAATGTAAAATCAACAATTGAAGAGGTTTTAATGTTTTTTTTATCTAAATGAATTATTTTAAAATTTGTCTGTGCTAAATAGCTAAAATACGATAAAATTCGCCCAAAACTGGTTTAAGAACGTATTTAAAATAGGATAGAGAAAGGTGAGAGCTGTAACTTTAACCCCACCTTGGACATTCAGATTCTCCACAACGTTGAGTTGTCACTTTCTCTAAAAAAAATAAAAGTTTTATTGGATTGAAATTAATTTTTCACGTTGCTTTTCCAGTAAAAAGTACTTTAATATCGCTATTCCCAATATCTTTGTAATTTGTAAACCTTTGGTATTTCGAATTGTGAATCAAACTTTTACACAATCAGGTTCCACAGATGTAGGAATTTTAAAAAATTGTGTCGTGAATTTCTTCTAGAGATATGATACCTAGGGCCTGGCAGTTTGTATCTGCAAGTGTTACTCCGGAGGTACCGTCCTCACATACGGCCATCCTCTGATTAGTATACCAGTTTAAACTCTTATGTAAGGAACTGAGTTCTTGCAACAAACTCTTGCTTTTAAATCTCTATATCTGTACACCCCGATGTTGTAGACCTTTGATATTTCAAACTGTGAATTCTGTTGAATCAAATAGTCTAAGTTTAAAATATCAAAGGTTTAGTTCATCAAGTTGTGAAGATAAAGGGATTAGAAAATTTAAGTTTCTAAAGGTAAATTTCAAATTAGATTGTTATTTTGAACGTTTTACTTTTTTTAACAAGCTTTTCTTTCAAAAAAAAGTTTTGAAACACTTTCTCGCAACCAAGCAAGTTTAATATTGTTGGATGTAAAATTAAAACTAGAGAATTATCAAGATCACAAAGTCACACCAATAAATCCGCATAAAGGAATTGAGTCTTTGCCACAAACTCTGATTTTTTAATCCTTATAGCTTTCCAACAAAATGTCGTAGACCTTTAATGTTTCAAACTATGAATTCTGATGGATCAAATTATCAAAGTCTGAAATATCAAAGGTTTACGCCAACGGGTTGCTAAGATATAGGGATTAGAAAATATGACTTTGAAGCAAAGACTCAGTTCCTTTACCTTGTTCCTTATGTCTATATGGAGATAATCGAATTAAATATATATATATTAATATATTTATGGTGCTTGAGATAATTACCATAACACAAACCAATTTCTAAACCTATTTTTGGGCGATTTTAAGAGATCTGAATTTGTTATAATCTAGAGGCAATTAAATGGAATAAATGTGTAACCATTCTCATTCAGCTTTAAACCTCGTGAAAAAGTGAATTTAAGTAATTATTGATCCTTTCAAAAATATATTTGAATCTTTTTTCTTAAGATTCATGTACAAATATTTTGTATTTTTTTAGCTATACCCAATATTTGTTGTATCAATGAGGTATTTATGTGGAACATACATTAAAGTTTAATAGTTATAAAATAGGAAGTGGGATCCCCCCCCCCTTCTCTTCCCTGACAAAAGAGAATGTAGAGAATTTATGTTTAAGACGGTTTATGAGTTGTAAAACTGATCTATCCCTGCTGAGAGCCTCCTCCGCAGGTTTTACTACAGGAGCTCCAGGCTCCGTATCTCCACTTCAACCCTTGACAAGGTCCTTCACAGCTCTCAACTGTACCAGGAGAACCAACCTCCTTCTCACAGTACTTATCAAGCACGGAAACCTGGAATAGATAAAAACAATCTGCAGAGGTTAAAACAACGCTTTATCCTGATATCCACTTTGACAGCTTTTAAATTAGAGGCTAAGTGGTTGATCCTTTCATTTTAATCATACTTTCCGGGAAATCTGTAGAACTGATTTTTACGCGGACATCGGCTTCATCCCGGACTTCACAACACAAAAGTTTCAACCTATTGTATTCTTACAATCACGCCGACAATTTCTTCTCATTTGCGTCGGCAGATTTTAATATACTTTAAAGAAATATCATAAAACCTTAAATCTTTTTTGTCATTTCCCAGTCTCGTAATTTTTCTCTGAATTTGACACATCTTCTAACAAAGAAATTGAGTCTTTGCAACAAACTCTGATTTTAAAATCCCTATATCTTTGTAACCCAATGTTGTAGACCTCAGATATTTCAAACTATGAATATTGTTAGATCAAATAATCAAAGGGTTATATCATTAGGTTAAAAAGATATAACTAGGGATTGAAAAATCTAAGTTTGTGGCAAAGAATCAATCCTTCACTTAGTTTCATAATTCCATACCTTCTTTAGATCCGGAGTAACCTTGATACAGACAAACGAAACTGATCTTACTCCAGGTCCACAGGAAGCTGAGCAGTTCCCTGTCTGAACACGATCCCACTCCAGGCTACAGTGAGAATTGCAAACCTTAAGGAGAACTATTTTTTTTCTGGTTTAAACAGAACGGAGTGCGACATTCTATCCCATGTTGGTTTTATACAGAGAGAATACAACTGTTGAATAGAAAGACGACTTTAAACCTTTAGTTATGACTTTAAATAGTCCTGCAATGAACAAGAAACACATTTCAATTGTGCAGTCTGCACACACACCCATTTCACGTCCTTAGTAAATTTTCAAGCTTTTGGTTAAACTATTTTCTTTTTAACAACGTCAAAAACGCATAATATTGCTAAAATGTCGTCTTCATATTCCACTGTGGTTTTCACTGTAAATGTTTAGATTTCAGTTAAAGTCTAACTTGAAACTTATAATAATGCACTCTGGTTCAACCATTTGTAAGATTAGACAAATAAAGATATATTCGTTTATTACTTGCAGATTTTTTCACGATAAGACTTCTAAAAATGAATGTTAAAGACATTAAGGCCCATAAACAGTCCTTTAAATTCATCCAAACTTGTCCTGGGCTGTAAACCATGGCATGGTAACAAAATATTATATTCACAATAAATGTCTTTTTATACTAGCGGTAGAAGGCAGGTGGCCATGCGCCACAACTTTTTCCCTTCCATGCCACATATAAGCTTATTTGTCTTACGGGACCCTTGAGCCACAAATATTCGTTCTTCCATACCACATCATTTTTCTTAATAGTGAAAATAGAGCATTCAAATTGCGATTTTTAAAAAGACAAAAAAATTGTGACATGGAAGACCGAACAGTTGAGGCTCGCGGCTGCCGGAAGACAAAAAGGCTGTTATCTGGCATGGAAGGGAAAATAGTTGCATATCATGTCCGCCTGCCTTCTCCCCCTCCTTTTACCTTAGTTTTATGTTCAGGTTTGGGAAGAAAGGTGCAGTACTCCTCAGTTACTTCTTTTCCTTCTATTAAGACAGAAACAAATTCAACAAATGTTAAAAAATTCAATTTAGTCATGATCATTGATCATGAATACACACTTGAAACCACGGAAGATAAACCTGGAACTCCAATCTAAAGAAATTAGTCTTTGCCACGAACTCAAATTTTCTAATCCCTATATCTTTGCATCCTGATGGTGTAGACTTTTGATTTTTCCAACTTTGGTTAATTAATCTAACAGAATTCATAGTTTGAACTATTTAAGGTCTACGACATTGGGTTGCAAACATATAAGATTTAGAAAATCAGAGTTTGTGGCAATTCCTTTATAACAAAGTAAGCAAAACGCAGCACACGCATTGCACTAATTGCACAGTACTGAATTGGTTTGTATGGCGTCCAAAATCTTCAGTGCAAACAAAGATACAGGGGTTCCGGACTAACCAGAGTTAGAGGCATTCGGTTTCTACTATTTAAAATCATACGCGTTTTGGTCTATAATTAAACAATCTTAAAACGTACGGATTTGTTTGTTTTATATTTTTCATTCACAACATATATGCTGGCAAAAAAGTATTTAAGAAAAAAGGCTAAAAAATATGTTTAATAGGACAAATCGTGATCGAAAGTCACACCTTTCTGGAATATTGACAGAGCCATTAAATCCACGCGGCAGTATAATTCTTATCTTGCTAGAAACCATCAAAACTTCTTTTTCAAAATATTGTATTGTCGTTTCTGGGGGGAATATAAACTACTCCGTGTTACCTAGGCTTTAATTCTACAAATTAAACTTTTTTTGAAAACAAAATTTTTCTGATATGATATTCTGCTACTGCTAGAAAACTTGTATTTAGTGTGATCTCAATCTATAAACTGATATAGATATATTCCTTTATCATGATATTCTACTACTGCTTGAAAACTTGTATTTAGTGTGAACTGTATCTATAAACTGATATAGATATATTCCTTTTTCATGATATTCTACTACTGCTTGAAAACTTGTATTTAGTGTGAACTGTATCTATAAACTGATATAGATATATTCCTTTATCATAATATGCTACTACTACTGCTTGAAAACTTGTATTTAGTGTGAACTGTATCTATAAACTGATATAGATATATTCCTTTATCATGATATTCTACTACTGCTAGAAAACTGCTTGTATTTAGTGTGAACTGTATCTATAAACTGATATAGATATATTCCTTTATCATGATATTCTACTACTGCTTGAAAACTGCTTGTATTTAGTGTGAACTGAATTTATAAACTGATATAGATATATTCCTTTATCATGATATTCTACTACTGCTTGAAAACTACTTGTATTTATTGTGAACTGAATCTGTAAACTGATATAGATTTATTCCTTTATCCATGATATTCTACTACTGCTTGAAAACTTGTATTTAGTGTGAACTGAATCTATAACCTTTTTGTTCTATTTATTTAAGACAGCTGTAGCGTATCTCTTGAAATTTCTTTTGCTGGTTTACTTATTACTGCCTGTAGCTCAAGTTTGAATACAAACAAACCCAATTGTATGATACAGGGTGTCCCATGAAACATTGGAATAAAGAGACGACTTGAAAATCTTTTAATTTAGACTTAATTTAGACAGAATACCAAATAAATAAGGCCCTACTTAATAAGAGCAATAATTAGAAATAAGGATCACCAGGGGGGAGGGCAACTCAAAAGTTCGCGTGCATTAATTGCGCGAATACCGTATCTGGAACCCCCGTCAACTTTTGCCTCAAATCCTGAATACGCAATCATTTTGCTAAAAATTGCGTAAAAAGCAGGGTTAAATGGAACTTTTTTAAGCATGCTTTTTGACGCAACATATTCGTGTTTGCGTAAAATCATTTTTTTCTTTCCTTTCTGTGGAGTATCCTCTACGCAAACTGATTCTCTACTCTGACGACCTAGAAAAATTAATCATAGTGAAAAAAGTTTTACAAAAGAATTTGGGGTCCGTCCTAGAGAACGATTTTTAGACCCCCCCACCCCCACCCGCTCCCTCCTATCAATCTTGTAAATGACCACTNAAAAATATGGAATTCGATTGAATTAGAGCTGAAAGAAACTAAATCTGAAAAATCGTTTAAAAGAAAAGTCACCAAGATCTATTTAGATAGTTATGCAAATTATATCTGTAAAAAAATCTGTGTATCATGTGGATAAACTTAGTCTTTACTATCTTCTTCACCCTGTAGTTCATAAACATGATTTCAATAACAAATGTAACCCTCTGTTCCAACCTTTATTATTATTATTATTATTATTATCATTATTATTATTGCCTGCGGTGGATAAACATTTCCGACGGAAAGAACCTCAACTACTAGATCTTTGTTTAGGGTTTTACTGGAGAATATTCTCTCCTCTACTACATCAGACCCGGAGTATTCAAGCATAGATCCTCCGTACTAGAAGAAAGCTTTATATTGAGAACCAAGCATTTTTTTGTAAACATTTGATAAGAACTGAGTTTTTGCCACAATCTCAAATTTTGTAGTCCCTATATCTTTACAACCTGATGCTGTAAACTTGTATATCTCAAACTTAGATTATTTAATCTAACAGAATTCATTTTTTGAAATATTAACGGTCTGCGACTAAGATATAGTGATAAGAAAATCAGAGTTTGTGGCGAATACGGTTTAACAAATTTTTTAAGAATTCCATTGAAAAAAGAAACTGAGCCTGAGGTTGCAACTTTTGATTTGTGAATCTTGGGATCAAGCATTGCTCTTCAATTTACGCAGATGTACGGTTTAACTTGATTCCTCTTCGATATCCCGTGGTGGTCATTCCTTTCAGGGATAACTTTAGTTGAGGGATCAAGCATTTATCCTCAAAAAAAAGACCAACATTGGATAAAAAGATCAATATTAACGTTACTACACACAGAAGTTCCGCCCTTTGGAAAAAGAAAATCAAAGTCTTGAAAATCTTCAAAAGGTTTCTCCATAATACCTGAACACTCTTCGTGAACATGGATACAACAAACCCTCCGTTAATGATATATTCTCCTGTCTCTGTATCCCGGAGAGCGATATATGTATCATCCTTCCTCTTGTTCAAATATCCAACCTGCCTAGAGATATCAGACCATGAATTGCTAGATAAAACCCATTGATAAAACCCTCCCCTGTGGTCTGCTTTGATAAAACGGTTTTATTATCTCTGCAAATGTAACAATAATTCAAATCAGCGCTCAGTGCACACGAAGGTATAAAAGTATTGGTCAAAGCATTTGCATTGAATTTATGTTATTATCTTGTCAACATTGAATACCTCTCTCCTCCCATATAATTTACACCAAGTACTATAGTTAGGCTCAAATCCTTCATTCTCGTCCTATTCCTATCCTCAAATTTCTTCCTGTCTTCTCTATAGTTTAGCTTAAATCCTCCAATATCTCTTATGATCCGATACCCCCTAGCTCTTATCCTCCCATATCCTCCTAGCTCCTATCCTCCATTATCCTCCTAGCTCCTATCCTCCAATATCCTCCTAGTTCCTATCCTCCATTATCCTCCTAGTTCCTATCCTCAAGTAGCCTTCTAGCTCCTATCAACCAACATTCTCCTGGCTCCTATCCTCCAATATTCTCCTAGCTCATATTCTCCAATATTCTCCTAGCTTCATCCTCCAATATTCTCCTAGCTTCTATCCTCCAATATCCTCCTAGGTCCTATCCTCCAATATCCTTCTAGCTCCTATCAACCAANGTTAGGATTGGTAGGAACAAAACCAAGGGGAATAAAATGGTAAGGACGTTTATTTAGCTGATAAAGAATAAGGATAGGACTTACAGTAACTTAACCAAGGATAATGAAAAGGTATGGCCGTTTATTGAGCTGATAATGATTAAGGTATGTACTGACTGGAACTTAACAAAGGATAATGAAAAGTTAAGTACGTGAGTTTAGCTGATAAAGAAAGGATAGGATTAGTAGGAACTAAAGTAGGAATAAGATCTAAAGTTTTGAACCTAACACATGTTGAGTTATCTCCACCACACACTCCGCATATATCTGAAACCAGGAGAAGGTTAGTTATCTCTAGGTATGAAATGAAGCAGTGTTAAGTACTGCTTTAGGAAAACCTAGACGGGCATTGGGATTGTCTATAGTGTCTATAGTGTCTACAGTGTCTATAGTGTTTATAGTTTCTATAGTGTCTATAGTGTCTAAAGTGTCTATAGTGTCTATAGTGTCTATAGTGTCTATAGTGTCTATAGTGTCTATATAGTTTCTATAGTGTCTATAGTGTCTATAGTGTCTATAGTGTCTATAGTGTCTATAGTGTCTATAGTGTCTATAGTGTCTATATAGTTTCTATAGTGTCTATAGTGTCTATAGTTTCTATAGTGTCTATAGTGTCTATAGTGTCTATAGTGTCTATAGTGTCTATAGTGTCTATAGTGTCTATAGTGTCTATAGTGTCTATAGTGTCTATAGTGTTAATAGTGTCTATATAGTTTCTATAGTTTCTACAGTGTCTATAGTGTCTATAGTGTCTATAGTGTCTATAGTGTCTATAGTGTCTATAGTGTCTATAGTGTTTATAGTGTCTATAGTGTCTACAGTGTCTATAGTGTCTATAGTGTCTATAGTGTCTATATAGTTTCTATAGTGTCTATAGTGTCTATAAGTTGGTCTGTAACGAGAACGTGTATAAAGTGCATACTGCAAAGTCTTTAAGATTATTTCTTACACGAAATCTCAGTTTTTAGTTTTTTTACTTGGGGGGTGGGGTTTGATATTAATAACATTAAGCCTGAAATTATATGTTTTTCCTTAAAAACCAAAGTTTTTGCTCGCATATAATTTTTGAACCCATAGAAGGGGGAAACATTTCATGACAGGTTGGAGATTTTTTTTATATTGTTTACCTAGTTTAACAGTCGAGTCTAGTTGATGATCACACCCAGCAGCTACGCATGTACCAGCTACACACTTATCAAAACTGTCAGCTGTACACGGTGTACCGTCCACTACTGTACTTGCCAGCAGGTAGTAGTTAGAGGAGTAATCAACTCTACAGTACAGTTTGCACGCGTCACCTTCACTAACTACAAAATAAAATGGCGTTAAAGAATTTTAACAGATTAAATAATTGTACTTTTTAGATATAAATTATTATTATCTTTTTAAAAACTGCTGATTTTTCTTTATATTTCATAAAATATAAAATTTTTCACTGTCAAAATTGTTTTGATGTTCATGTTTTAACCACGTGACATTTTGAAACTTACTTCCGGTATATTTTGGCACCCATTTAACATCCGGTGGAAGTCCCTCGATGTTAAAGTTGTTTCCGTTGTAGGCTTGACATTGTTCGTGTCTAGTAAAATATACAGAAGTCAAGATTTTCTGCTAAAAATATTTAAGTTGTGGGCTAAACAAGCAAACATACTGTCAGTTCTATCAATCAGGTTTTGTAACATGAGTTTGCAAATTTTTAAGCTAAAAAATGTGCAAAAAATATATGACTAAAAGGGACTGCAGACGTATTTTTAAGTGACCCTCCCTTTATGGTGTTGAGGGTAATTTCAAGTGCACTCTGATCAATAAAGTGAAAGATATCGTCGTTTTCCAGGTTTACAAGTATTTAGTTCTGATAATTCCGATATGTCTTCCTGCAGTATAGAAATGCGCTAGTCACTTTTTTAAGAAATCTTAAGTTTAAACTTTTATATAAAATCTTAATTTTAACCTTTACAGAAATCTTAAGTTTAAACTTTTATGAAATCTTAATTTTGACCTTTTAAGAAATCTTAAGTTTAACCTTTTAAGAAATCTTAAGTTTAAACTTTTAAGAAATCTTAAGCTTAAACTTTTATAAAATCTTAATTTTAACCTTTTATGAAATCTTAATTTTGACCTTTAAAAAAATCCTAAGTTTAAAGTTTTAAGAAATCTTAAGTTCAAAGTTTTGAGAAATCTTAATTTTAACCTTTAAAGAAATCTTAAGTTAAACCTTTTAAGAAATCTTAAGTTTAACCTTTAAAAAATGTTTTGATTTTTTTGTTTATTATTTTCAGTTGTTTATACATGGGTAAATGTATAATTGTAAGGAGATAGTTCTGATACAGGGCAGCCTAAAATGTATCCAAAAAAATTTGCATTTCCGATTTTTTCATTGAAACTTAAAAGTCAGTTACACTGATCAGGTACTGAAGGCTAAGATTTTTATATTAAAAAAGATATTGAATTCGATATTTTTGACACCCTGTAGCATTTTCCAAGTATTTTTGACACCCTGTAGCATTTTCGCTGTATTTAAACAAACAAGTAAAAAGTACTCAACCGGAAAAGGTTTCACGGAAATGAAACAGATCTGATACATATCACACAGCAGGGGTGGGGGAATCTTAAATTTGTTGCACTCCACATCCCCCCCCCCCCCNAGAAGGATTAAGGGAAAACAATGAACCTATGCATCTATCATGGCAAAAAAATGTGAAATCTGAAATTCTTCTCTTCTGCTTTATATTTCTAGTACAGGGTTAACCACAAAGGATGTGACTTCAGAGACGACTGTACGAATTCATATTGTCTGTTTCGTCTGTAACCTTACATTCATGATTTTCTACAACTAAAATTTGTGTTTCTTTCTTTGTTAAATCATTACATAAGTCATAAAAGCACTACACTTAAGGCAGAAAACTTATTTTAGTATTGAAATCTTCATATTTTAGTGTTTTTGTCGTCTTTACTGTATCATCCTTTGTGGTTCACCCTGTATAATATACCTGTATGTATGCGAAGAGTTGCAGGGTTTAATGTTGCAAGCTTCATATCTAACCCTCTCCCCTACACAGTACAGACCTAAAGAACAAGAATAAGGTTCGGAAAGTTTTTACGGCGTTTTATCTCTCAAACCTTATCAAGCTTCTTGTCGGCTTATTTCTAACTCTTTCTTATTCGATTCTGTTTCCGGAAGATTTATATTTGATTTTTAGTTGTTTAGAAGCTGTGCCTTTACTATCTATTTCTCCAAGTACCTCCATTGGGCATTGATAAGTTCAGAAATTATCAAGGTACCTCCCTCAATTGGTAGGTTTTCAGAACTAATCAAGGTACCTTCATACGGTTCCTCCATTGGTGGGTTCAGAACTATAGATTTATCAAAGTACCTCCCTCTATTGGTAGGTTTAGAACTATATATTTCTTAAGGTATCTACCTTCATTTGTAGGTTTAGAACTATATATTTCTCAATATACCTCCCTCCATTGGGTAGGTTCAGAACTATAGATTTCTCAAGGTACCTTCCTCCATTTGCAGGTTTAGAACTTTATATGTCTGAAGGTACCTACCTCCATTGGTAGGTTCAGGATTGTCACATTCTCTAGTAGTTTTCCTAACTCCTCCTCCGCAGGTACGAGAACAACTGCTCCAGCTAAATAAATCTTAAAGTGATTGTGAATAAAATTTGTTTTTGCCCCGATTCAATTTAAAAGTTTGAAGAATGGCATGTCCGATTCACAAACGATACCCTTTAAATCCTTTAAACCTGTGCCTGAGAAAGTCCCGTTTAATTTCTCCGAGATCTTTATTGTTCTAATTTACCTTGTTTACATTATAAAAAAAGTAAACAGTAGTTTGTTTAAGTTCAAATTCTCTTCCTGGATATATTCTAAACTAGTATTTGGACAAAACTGTTTATTAAATTCCTGTCCTAGTAGATTTATTATCAGAAACATAAAAATAAATTTCCAATACCCTGTGTTTATATCTAGGTCAGTTTTTAAACATAAATACGAATTCAGCTTTCGGGATCGGTTTTACTTTTACAGGGTTCTAAAAAAAATTATGATTTCGAAGCCCAAAAAAGTTATCAACAGTCTCAACAACTTAGATTTTTTAACATAATTTATATTTTTTTGCTGCTATTTTAGTCCATGCAATTATTATCATCATTGGTATGTATTGTAAAGTAATCAAAAATAATGTTAACAACAAAAATTGGTGCAAAAAAAAATTTTACAAATGATTGTTCAAAATTTACATTATTTTTTATCCTTGACAGGTTATGTTAAATCATTTGCATTTTAAAGAAAATCTATCTTCGCTAAAATTTTCAGGCAATTCAAATTCTTAATATCAATTTTCCCAATGCAATTAGAAATTTTAAAGGAATTGGGTTGCAAAGATATAGGAATTAGACATTCTGAGTTAGTGGAAAAGACTCAATTGCTTTATCATTAAACTGCAAAAGAGTGTAAAAAATTAACAAGAAAGTAATATTTTCGAATTCTGAACAATTTTCAAATTTAGCTTAATGTTAAATTACCTTTTCCATTGCCCCCAGCCTCCGTCTACAGTAATATTCTTCATATTGTCCATAGAGACGCACTGTGAGCGCATACACCACATGTCCTTGCCGCACACCGTTCCATCAGCCCAGGGCATGTGCTGGGTTCTAAACTTGGACACCATCAATATGAAGGACAAAGTGGACTACCATGGAAAACTGGACTACTTGACCTCAGGACTTCTTGACATCAAGACTACTTGACTACTGAACTTCTGGACTACTGAACAACTGGACTACTGAACAACTGGACTACTGAACAACTGGACTACTGAACTACTGGACTACTGGACTACTGGACTTCTAGACTAAAGACTTTTCGACTGCAAAACTACTAGATTTGGAACTACTGAACTTTTGCACCACTCAACTTCTGAAATACTGGAAAAACTGGACTACTGGGATACCGAACTACAGAACTACTGAAATACTATACCACTAGACTACTGAATTATTAGACTAATTGACTAAAGACTATCGGGCTAAAAAACTACTTTTAAACTACTCAACTTCTTCGCTGCTCGACATCTATGTTTAAAAATGGATGACAGGACTACTGGACTACTGGACTATTGACATACTGGGCTATAAGACTTACAAGACCATTGAACTATTAGACTAAGGACTACTGGACTACAAGAGCAACGAAATATTCGACTACAAGACCATTGAACTATTGGACTACAAGACCATCGAACTATTGAACTGCAATAATTTTGAACTTAGGGGCAACAACACCATTGAATTAGGGACTACATAACTCCTGGACTAATGAACTACTGGACTACAAGACTATTGGATTTAAGAACATTTAGGATTACAGGATTACAGGACTACAAGATCATTGAAGTACTGGACTAAAGGACTACAAGACCATTGAACCACAGGACATACTGGACTGATACCTGCACCCCAGGTCCTCTCCTTGTGGTGTTGAACACCAAAGTCTACCACATGGAGGCATATATGAGCAGATCTGAGAACCCTTATTAAAAAAACATTGATTTTTTTTCGTATTTTCAGAATTAGAACTGCAACTTCTCGCCTCAAACTCTAATTTTTAAGTCCTTTATCTTTGCAACCTGATGTCGTGAACCTTCGATGTTTGAAATTGTGAGTGCTGCTAGATTAAATTTTGAAACATCAAAAGTTTCCACCACCAGGGTGTAAATATCTAAGATAAAAAATTGGATTTTGAGGTGAGCAATGATTTCCTTTATAAACTATAGATAAAACAGAGTACTTTATAGTCATAAAATGTACATTCCCAAGGCTACAAAAAAGTGAAAAGTGAGTAAGTGAGCTAAAATTAAACACCAAGGAGTTGCTAAAACTGACGCTGTCTTGAAAACTGATGCAATTTTTCATAAAAGTTTTGATCAATGTGATTTATAATGCTGAACTACAGAAAATCAAGTCTTTGCAAAAAAGGGCAATTAGAGCAGTAAATAATAGTTCATTTAAGGCACATTCAGATCCAATATTTTTCAGATTAGAACTCCTAAATCTTGATGAAACATATAAACTAGGTGATGTTCTATCTTTTATGCATAAATACTTTTATGACAACCTTCCAGCTTCCTTCCATGATATGTTTAGTTCTTCAGCTGAACCAAATAGAACAAAATCATATATACTTGAACGGGTTCTCTTTAAAACTCTAGAATGTTTTCCCTCTGCTTTATTTCCAAAAATATGGAATTCGATTGAATTAGAGCTGAAAGAAACAAAATCTGCAAAATCGTTTAAAAGTCGCCAAGATCTATTTAGATAGTTATGCAAATTATATCTGTAAAAAAAACTGTGTATCATGTGGATAAACTTAGTCTTTACTATCTCCTTCACCCTGTAGTTTATAAACATGATTTTAATAACGTATGTTACCCTCTGCTCCAACCCTTACGCTGAATATCCTCCCTTTCCCTTATACTCCCTCACCTCCTCCTTACCTTTTTCCTGATTTATCATCATTCTTATGTTTAAATGTACGATGTACATTGTTTTTATTTGCAATTCTCATTCGTTTATAGTGGCCCCACCAATTTAAACAACCTACTCTGGTTAGGCGGGTCCAAATTACATAGTAAATTGTGATTTTTTATTTGTATTATCTCGTGCTTTGTAGTTGAATAAAAATATGAAAAAATATGAAATATACCTTTCCGAATACAAGTTCACATTGAGCGTTCTCGTCAAAGAACTCCCCAGCAAATCTGGAAATCTTCTTCACTTCACTCTCCAGGTAGTTCCAGTTAGGACGGTTCCTCAAGCAGTATCCATACCCTTTACTAGATACAGTATCTATCCAGTATCCATACCCTTTACTAGATACAGTATCTATACAGTATCCGTACCCTTTACTAGATACAGTATCTATACAGTATCCGTACCCTTTACTAGATACAGTATCTATGCAGTATCCATACCCTTTACTAGATACAGTATCTTTACAGTATCAAATATACTTTACAGTATTCATACCCTTTACTAGATACAGTATTTATACAATATCCATACCCTTTACTATATACAGTGTCAATACAGTATCCATACCCTCAACTAGATACAGTATCAATACAGTATCCATACCCTTTACAGGATACAGTATCAATACAGTATCCATACCTTTTACTAGATGCAGTATCAATACAGTATCCATACTCTTTACAGGATACAGTATCTATACTGTATCCATACCCTTAACTAGCTACAGTATCAATACCGTATCCATACCCTTTACTAGATACAGTATCAATACAGTATCCATACCTTTTACTAGATGCGGTATCAATACAGTAACCATAGTACATACCCTTAACTAGATACAGTATCAATACAGTATCCATACCCTTTACTAGATACAGAATCCGTACCCTTTACAAGATACAGTATCCGTACCCTTTACTAGATACAGTATCCGTACCCTTCACTAGATACAGTATCTGTACCCTTTACTAGATACAGTATCTATGCAGTATTCGTACCCTTTACTAGATACAGCAACAATACAGTATCCGTACTCTTTACTAGATACAGTATCTTTACAGTATCAAATATCCTTTACTAGATACAGTACCAATACAGTATCCATACCCTTTGCTAGATACAGTATCAATACAGTATCCATACCCTTTACTAGATACAGGATCAATGCAGTGTCCATACCATTTACTCGATGCAGTATTAATACAGTATATTAGATATTAGATATTAGATTTTTATATTCCTTATATCGTTATAACCTAATGTCGTCGACTTTTGATATTTCAAACTGTGAATTCTTCTATATCAAACAGGCATATGTGTTTGAGATATCTATGGCATACACCATCAGGTTGCAAATATATTGGGATTATAAATTAAGAATTTGAGGCGAGTAAACATTTCCTCCAAGTTAAATAAAAAAACTTACTCTAAGAATCCAGTGAGATAATGTCTGCTGCACTCGGACCATCTCCATGGATTAGAATTATGGTCTAGGGTTCGAGACATCACATAGGTTGCGTTATTTCGAGAAAACTCCTTACACTTGTCATCATCGTCATGCGGCATGTTCAACCTGTATAAAAACATTATTTTTTAGCTAAAAACAGAATTATCTTCTTTATTTTTGATAGAAACAGACAGGGTACTGTTGTGAATCGAACTGGCACTCATCAGTGAAGGGTCACTTGAAACTATGTCTACTGGGACCCGACTTAATGAATCTAGAGATGGTTTAGCTACGTATCTTGAATCAATGATTCAGACCGTCCATGTAACTGCAGATAGGGATGTTAACGTTTTCATTTTTTTTTTGAAAAACGATCGTATCGTTATGAAAACGACGATGAAAAATCGAAAACGAAACGATCATTTTAAAAACGATCGTTTTTTCAAAAAGTTCGTTTTTAAAAATGGTCGTTTCGTTAACGATCGTTTTCAAAAACGATTTACAACCCTAACTGCAGAACTACAGAATAACAGTTCAGTAAATAGTTTTAGTACTCTGAAAATGAATTACCCCTGTTTATGTAAAAAAGTGAATTACCCCTGTTTATGCAAAATAATGAATTACCCCTGTTTATGTAAAATGATGAATTACCCCTGTTTATGTAAAATAGAGAATTACCCCTGTTTATGTAAAATAATGAATTACCCCTGTTTATGTAAAATAATGAATTACCCCTGTTTATGTAAAATGATGAATTACCCCTGTTTATGTAAAATGTTTAAATATCCCGTGAAATTGATTGCATTAATGTGAATGGGTCGTAAATAAGGCAGTTATTTGTTTATATCACTTGCACATTTAAACTTAATCGATAAATCCAACCCCACAACATTTTTTTATCATTTTTACAGGAATATCGATATTTTTACAGGGTGTCTAGAAAAACAATGATTGCATTGCCACATTTTTTTAATCCGTATATCCGTAACCTGATCGTGAAAACTTTGATATTTCAACCTTGGATTATTTTGTCTAACAGAATTCATCGTTTACAATATCAAGGGTCTACAACATTGGGTTGCAAAGATATCAGGATTAGAGTTTGTGACAAAGACTCAATTCCTTCAATACAAGTGTTTGAAGCTTTGGAACTCCTCTGATGCGATATAGCTTTTTTCGATTGATTTTAGGGTTCTAAACTAATTTTTTTTAAATGAAGGATTCCGATCTAAAATTCTTTTTATCATGCTACGAAGCAAATTATATTTACAATTGAAGTTTTGGAAATTGCTTGATGTTAATAACATTTATAACAAAACAATTTTTTACAAATAACTCTAAAGTTCAAATAACGAGAATGGGCTCAAACTGGAGGTCCTGGCATCAACTATGGTTTTTTTCGAGACACCCTGTACAATTAATTAAACTGATATTCATTAATATGAGAGTTTTATAAATGTTAAGTCAAGATTTTATATTTTTTACAGAAATTATTTTATTTAGAAAATATATATATGTAGTTTACATACAGATATTCATGTTTAATTTTTGTGGACGGAGGGAAGGGGGGGGGGCACGGTGGGG